CATGAGGAACTTTGCAGTAAGCAAGTATAAAGCCACTCTCTGTTCCACAGCCAGCTCCTTGGAGAATTCACGCCAGAGAGAGGATCAGCTCCAGAGATGAAAGTGAGGTCAAGGTGTCTTTTTTTTCTTGCCCCCCCCTCTAAATCAGACTTTGTCTCAGGCAGCTCCTCTCCTCTTCCCAAACTGAGAGCACACAGAGCTCTGGAAACTGAGCAATAAAGGTGATGAAATTCAATTTTAAAAATTCAATTTTACTTATGTAGCGCCAAATCACAACAATAGTCGTCAAAGGGGAGAGAAACTGTGCTGGGCAGAGTCAGATCAGGTTGTCTAAGACATTTAAGTACACACAGTATACTATATTTGTTGAGATTGATCTTCAACTGGAGTAACATTATCTTCAACATATCTGTCTTTGTTTTGCACTGCTCTGTGTTTGTGTGGATATGAAATGGTGTCTACACATGTGGCAGACCACTCACTGAAAACACACCGTACAAGTACATGTACTGCTCATTGACTGGCTAAGGCCGCCCCTCCAGTAATACATGGAGATGGTAGGATGCAAAGGTGTGGTTCTTCACAGCAGTTAGAGGGAGCCCAGTCAGAATCAAATGGGGAAAGAATGGAACCAAACACAGACAGCATCTTGAAAACCTGGGCTTCGAGGTTTACCTATCAAATCTAAGATAGTTTGTAGGTCTCTTTTGGTCTGATCATCCTTAAATGGAGCAGGGAAAACCCAGATTTAAACCCCGCAGATCATCAGATGGAAGCACAAAGACACTTCGCATCCAATCTGAAAAAGATTGAGAAGATCTGCCACAAATAATAAATGGAATAAACTGCCAAGATCCAGTTGGGAAAGCCCTTCAAGACGTCCAAGAAGACACGAGCTGTAACGTAGTGTAAATCCAAGCTTAAGGACCCATCCAGTGGGCCCTTTAGATTTTCTCTAGACATCACATTCATTTAATTTGGAGCATATGCATTTCTCCTTTCTTCTCTTCAGCAAGAATGATGGGGAAACCATCATACTTCCTTTGGCTGACACTGGTCAGCAGGTGATTTGAGAGCTGCAGAGGAAAGCGGCTAAACGCTAAAGTGCATCAGGTATTTAGCTTACATGTTTCTTCCTTCCTGTTCTCAGACATTTTTTTTCCCTTAGCAATAAAAGCATAATTCAAGCATAGACAGTGCAGTGGTTTCCTAAGAGCTGTTAATTGACAATGTTAGGAAAACCATAAATTATTTCACATCTGTCTGAAACTCGAGTAATTTATGACGTTGCAATATATGATTATGGTTGCATGTAAATGCCTGGGGTTTTTAAAAGCTGACAAACACGCTTGTTTTTTGTGGGCTTGGTTGACTTCTGCTCAGCGTCTGCAAAACTAATTGCACGCAGGCAAACCCATGATGCTGGCACACAATCAGAAATGAGAAACGACCACTTTCTGGCGCTTTCTTTACATTGAATACACGAATAAAGTATGTGCACCCTCCATAAATGATTAAAGGCCTCGTGAGTGTTTTGTAAATTAAAAATGATCCCTTCACATAGAGTTCAGACGAACCATCAAGTCGCCAGGCATTGTTTCAAGAGTTTGCACCTTAAAATCTGCCTATAGTCCCTACATGAGCTTACCACTAAATTAAAAGCTGCACATGACGCTGCACCTCCCTGCGCAGTATGTGTGTATATATATGTGTGTGTGTGTGTTCCTTCTTTAGCCCACTCGACCCCAACCCAACTTTCACTTTCCCTGCACACTCTTACACTTCCTCCCTGCCCAAACACCCCCTTCACCCTGGACTCCCCTGGCCCCTTTCTCACTGCTTTCCCGTGATCTCTTAAGCACTACAAACCACCTCACTGAATACAATCTCTCTCTCTCACACACACACATGCACACTCGTACATGGAACATTGTTTCCACTATCAACTGCTCTGTATTTCACCATCTGTTACGCACTCCCCCAGCTGTTGCCCACACTCTCCTTGCTCGGCAAAATAACAGCTCTACGAGCCGATGACACGCACACAGGACAGAAATTACACAGGGCCGTGTCTGCTAATTAGAGAGAGAAGCCAGTTTAGCATCTCGTCAGTCTGCAGGTAGAGTCTGCTGTTCGACTGGTCGCCCTCCTCCCAGTTAAATTCATGGCAAACTGATGAGCCCTTTACCTAATGAGGCACACTTAACCAACCGTGTCTGGATCATTATGTTGAGAAGAATGTGCTTACAGTGGCCTCTCAAAAGCACATCTTTATTGAGCCTAATGGCTGCTTACGTTTTTGCTCTACGCTCTACCAAACCACAGAGATTTTGCCGTCTTATTTTTCCTCTTTAACCACCCATGGTTGACTCTGGGCTTAGAATCATTCGTGAGGCCAAAGGTTTTTCACGCTCCCCACGTTTCCAAGCTGGTGTGTTACTATAAAATGTTCAAACCTTAAAGACAATACGCTCTCAGAGCAGCAGAATATGTGATTTGGATCCTGGCCTTCCAAGGGGAAGTTCTGGAAATGAAATCATTGACAAGACATGAGCATGCAGGTAGGGATAGTCCATGCAGCTTCTGGGAGCGGTGCCAGCAACAGTGCTGCGTCCAAAAGACTCCAAATACCATGCTGCCAGCATATGCAAAATGTATTTTTTTAAATAAAACATGAAAAGCTGTGATTTTTTTAATAAGTTCATTTGAATTGACACGTGCAATCTGTGCATTAATACTTGATCATCGTCTGTAACCACACACTGCTGTGATGACGATCCAGCCTGGCCTTTTGTGCGCTTCCAAGAAAGTGAAAAGTGTTTGAGAGCACTGGTCTAAATACTAACTGGTCATTTCCTTGGATAAGTTATTAAACTGTAGGAGAGGAACACTTGTTTTGAGGGTGGGGGCAGGGGGTCTCCATGTACGCTCGTCTACATCTGCCCGTTCCTCAGGAGAAAGACAAGCGAGTGTGAATCTGACTCACTCATTCGGGCCTAACACTTTGGTGCTCAGCACACAGTGGATTGATTACTGCACATCTGCACATGTAAAGGGGAAAAAAATATGAAATTCATCTTAAAAAGTGTGCTGCAAAGCGCTCTGCATGCAAGTGAAGATATTTTATGGTAAATAATTCTGGTATTATAATAAAAGATTTTAAAGGACCGCTGACGCTCACAGCAAGGCGGGCTCTAAATCTGTGATTTTATCAAGGTTTTATTAACAACCCGTGACAGAGTTTGAACCTTTTCCTGCCAGTCAACAAGCTCAAGCAGCCCTGTGCTACAACATTATCATGAAGTTTATTTCTTCAACACGTTGATTCATAACCTTCTTGGAAAAGCAGCACCTCTGAACCTTTCTCTGGAAGTTGAGAGGAAGTGAAACATCTGGATAGAGCATCGCTACCCGAAGATGCTGAGTAATAGCAATGCCAGAGAGAGACTCCATCCCGTGTGGGCTTCCTCCTCCTCACACTGTCTTTGATGAAGAAGGGGGACAGCGAGTAGACTCACTGCTGCAGGCACACATCCGCAGCACAAAGGGCCTCAGACACCTTGTTTACAGGAATCACAAAATCCTTATGAAAGTCGTCGTTTGCACTGGTTGATGGGCTCTCTTGGAGTTTTCATGCCACTTTGACCTCTCTTACCTTGCTCCGTGTTTGGGCATTCTAACTGCTCACTGTCACTGCTGTTTAACTGTCTTCAGGTTAAAAAACCCTGTGTTCTCCACCTGGAATTAGAGGCAGGAAAAGCTCCGTGTGTCCCAGGCCCCTAAACTGCAAACCATATGGACTCAATCCCGGTCCAGGCTGATCTGAGGATGCAGACATCTAGAGGAGGATGCCATGGCATGTGGCGGGGAGGGGGTCGTGACAGAGCTCTTCTTGTCCAAGGTTATTGGGTTAGTCTGAGTGGGAAATGGTGGAAGTGAGTTGGAGCTTGTTTGTTTGGAAAAATCGATGGTTGAGATGAGGAAACGGTGTCATTTTCAAGGAGAACTCTGTGCAGCGTTAGGACAGGGAAACCGCAAAACAAAGGAGCATTTTTGGTGCCGGAGCAAATGTGTCATTATAAACACTGCTGGAGTTTATACACCTAATAAATCTGTGCTTGTGTAAATCTCGGGAGAAGGAGCAGACGCAAAATCAAAAGCCCTCAGACTATATGGCATGCTACCTAAGCTCATAAACCACATTCACATCTAACAGTCTAACTCTCTCGCTGAATCATAGCGTTTTGTTTTGTTTTATGAGAGTGCATTATTGACTACATCAAAATTCTTTTTTTCATCATTTGTTTAATCCTGTGCTACAGCCAGGAGGCAGTCGAGTCTTTATATATACAGCACACTGTGAGCACGCTACAGCATATTTTCACTTTTCCAGCCAATGCCCAATTTCAGTTTAATGGTCAATGTATAAAAGATAAAGGTTACTTACTTAAATTGAACTAGTGGATTTAAGATACTGCATGCTATTTGTTTTAGTAGTATTGTGATCATTATTTCATTGATACTGGCTTTCTACTTTGAATGTTGGATGTGTGATGTATGTTCAGAAACAGGCGACCATAATAATCCCATTTTCTGTGACGATTTCCTTATGAATGTGCATCAAGTGCACTTACAACTAACTCAAGCTCACTTATTCTGCCATGTAAAGTGTTAGTGATACTATTAGAGCCGCTTCAAAATTAAGCTCTTTTTAAAACTCAGCTTACACGCAGTGTCATATATGTCAAGTAAAGTAATTGCATAACATTTTGAACTGATGCCATCTGATGTTTTCTGTTTTACGTCATTATTTTTTGTGTTGGTTTGCGTATGTCTATGATTTACAATTTTTACGTGCATTTTATAACGTTTTATAACTAAACATATTGAAAACGTGCAGGGTAGTGCAGCACTCAAACTCCACTCAAAGAGTGACTGAAGGGCTCAAGCCAAAACTCCGTCCGTGATGTCACGAGTCAGTAACCGGTGAAATCCAACACCACCAGCTGGTAGGATGGGGTTGTGATGGGCTGAGTACGGGTTCCCCTCGCATCAGTGCAAGTCAAGGCACATAGCAGAAGCCACCGCCTGGAGGCAAAGACGCATGGAACTGAATCTGCTGTGTTGGAGACCAAGAAGAAGTCGAGTGCTAATTCTGTGAATCCCTGAGAGCAGTCAAGTTTACATTGGTGCATACCGACTCGCTGCACTGCAAGTCCTTCTCTCCCCCCTATGCAACTGTTGCGCGTCTCCACTTTGGATAGAAGTAGCTTGATCACTGCGCGCCGCAGAGCGCAAAGGAACTGAGGCTTTGGTTTTGAAAGAGTTTGGAGAGACCTCTCCTCAGGACTGCAGCAGCTACGATGAGGAAACTCTGAGGTGGCAGTTATCTCCGTCCGCTTTATGCTTCCTTTGGCTCTTACCAAAGGTTAGCCCATGTGCAGGTATCCCCTTGAGTGTGATTCTGTTTTCACCCAGATCTCTGCTGCCTGGACAAATGCATACAAATGCATTTAGGAGCTCAACGGACAAGGAGTGGACACGTTTCCGCGGCAGCAACGTAAGTGGTCATTTGGTTAAGTACTCTGCAGATGTCAGACTATCTATGCGCTGAAGCTGTTTCCGGAACAGGTTTTCGCTTGATATGGCAACTGGGAGACTTATTTCTGTTCAGGTTCTTTGGCGTGTTTCCCTGACAGGGCGCCAGTTGACCAAACAAGTTTCAGCAGCTGAGCTGCACGATTGTGGCACCAAAACGTGGCACAAACTATTCAGAATTTTAGAAAGTTTAAGCACGAGACGACTGAGCTTTGCTGTAGTTTTTCTCTTTTTAGGATGTCTTCAGCTCGATCCGTTTGACCTGTTTGTTCTGCATATTAGCTTCACTCTAGCTGTGCACGGACTGCTGCTGTTAAGCTTTACCATCCCCATCTGATACCTGTACTTTTCCATACACCCATGCATTTCAGCTTTGGAAGTTGGCTTTGATCCCACCATGTGAACATGCAGTCTAGGATCTGCTACAATATCATCTTTTTATTTGGCACCCACTCACACAGCTCCAGTAAGCTGAAGAATAAACAGTAAACCATGGAGAAAGGGGATGAATGAGGCTGTCTTGTAAGTAATAATGCTTATTCTGCAAGTGATAAATTAGAAGAAGCACAGAAGCAAATGTGAAGGACCCAAGAGGAGCAAATGTGTCCATCTCTGTAAACGTGTTAAGGCTTTAGATGAACACCCTTAAACCCTAAACATTCCTCATGGGAGTGTGCATTATTGACATCTAGCATGCAGGTCTTGTTGTCCTGCTACATTCAGCTGGGGTCTGTGGAACATCAGAAATGTGCACTTCTTGAAAGAAAGAGTACTTCACAGGAAAAGCATTATCTTCTATCAGAAGTGAGTCCAAGTTGCCTGTACTCTATTATGAATCTCTTCCAGATATGATCTAAAAACAAAATCTGAGATCACAAGACATTCTGTTATTCTCTGCTGATAGCGGTTGCTTGATGTAAAACAGTAGAGTTGAAACCCTATAAGAGATCCTTTTTTTTGTCCTTGGTAGTGAATATGAGAGCCTTATGGGGAAAACTGAGGTGACTGGGGATAAATCTGGCCTCCCTTGAATTCACAGACAGAGTTAGTGTGTATGCATCAGTGGTTAACTGGCTCCTGAGCTCCAGACAATCACCCACTGTTGCAGGCATTGCTGTTCTATTGCTGCCAGTGCTAGAACTATAACACTGCAGAAACACAACCACTCACATACACTCTGGCTGAGAGTGCATGCTGACTCCTCAGCACAGGTTGGTACCTCCAGGTGGTTGATAATGTGAGCAGAAGTTTGCTATTGTCAGGTCAATGAGGCAGAAGGACAAAAAAGCAGAGAATATAAAGGGTTTTTCTGCCAGCACATTATTTGTCTTTTTACAGAAGTTTATGAACATTTTTGCAAATGGTACAAATTTCAGTCCATTGTTAAGAAATACAGAAAAACATCAGCAAGAATTCATACAGGAAGTGAAGTGCTTTCATTTGAAAACGTTAATTGTTCTGTAGTTTTACCCAGTTATTATGTTTTTCAGTGTACCACATGTCTACTGTGCCTCTGAGTGCATGAGGGATACTAAGTTTTACTGTCACTACATAAAGTACAAACTGTGTAGCTCCCTATGAGGCTACCCTAGTACATGTTACATTCTGTAGAAGCATTATAGGGTAATGCTTCTACAGAAAAGCCTTCCTGTATAAGTTGTAGTGGACTGCATGATAGGATAAGTATTTATGCAAGAAAATGTCAAACTTTGCTTTCAATATAACTGGATAACAACAATACCAAAGTTCCCACCATCTAATGGTATTTAGCAGCTACTTATGTTTATCTGCAATGGAGCTAAGCAGACTCTAATTTGTGGTGCTCAAATCTGAGATAATTTATGAACCCTTATAGACACAACAATTTAACAGCCTGTGATAGACGGGCAACCTGTGCAGGGTGTATGCTGCCGCTCATCCAGTGTCAGCTTAGATGTGCTCCAGTCCCAAACCAAGCACAAGAAGTTAGGAAAATGGACAGATTGACAGGAAAGCCTTTACAAAAACAATGTCCTGGCTCATCTGGGTAATCGGCAGAGCTCACTATAAATGCCTTTAATAAGACTTCCACGTCCCACAGCTCAGGTTACCCTTTTTGAATTATTCTGTGCTACAATCACAGCCTCTCCACCTTCGTGCTGGAGTGTACTCACCTTCCCCAAATCACCGGCTGCAGGGATTTTGGCCTGTCGGTGTGAGTGAGTGTATTTAACCCTCCTAACATCTGAAGGTTTCTCTGCAACAGGGAAAGGGCAAATAAATAAAAGCCAGTGGAAGTTTACTCACGGGCCTTTGTCTGCTCACTGTTTTGTGAACTCAGTCAATCTTTACACTGGTCTGCCGTGACCTCTTGACTCCGAGTACCATTGGAGTGAGCTGACAAATGTTAGCCATGCTCATTAGAGGAGAGACATGGCACGCTCCTTATAGAAGAGTCCACTTAGATTCATGATGGCTTGGAATCATTGGTGGCTTGGAACAGTTAGGAAATCATTATCATTTCTAGCCTTTGCAAACGCTCCACTATTAGACAGTTCAATCCTGGAAACCTGCTGATTTGTTAATCATTTTTGCTGATGGCTATTTGGAGAGAGGACAACAAGCCTGCTTAGTTATACCAGAGTGAAGTTAATATGATAAGGGTACAGGTACTGAAGCTGTAACCCAGCCAGCGGGAACACTCTTTGGCAGTAGATCAGTGACTTCATGGTGTCCAGGAATGTTTTTTGTTGAGATTGAAAAGCAAAACATGCAGGAACAGAACACCTGATTTGCAAGAAAGTGATGCACTCATTTGGAAACATTTCAACTGGTTTATACTGTAACATGCTGGGTGATGCTGGGTCTTAACAGATCCTCGGGGCACTGCGTCATTTTATGTGTTATATCTGCTATGACATCCATGGCATTTTTAGACTGGGCTCAGCTAAGTCACACAACAGTAGAGGTTAGGTAAACGCTCCAAGGTCATGCTCTATAAACCTCAATCTTCTGAATAATGACTCCTCCAAGGAGTGCCAAAAGAGCTTCAGCAAACTTCAGGGGTTATGAAAAGTGGGACGGGTGAGTCAGGGTTAGTCTCATCAGGTTTGTTTGGATTGTCCTATTCAGAGCACCTTTTTTGCCCAAAGCGAAGTCAAACACAGCAGCTTTTGGATTTTTCACACCAACGCACCTCAACAGCAGTTTTAGTGCTTCCAGTTTCTTGGAGATCCTCTAGAAGTTTCATTTCAGAGCTGTGTGTGTAGATTAACAGCTTTGCATGCTTCGCTGTTACTTACTGATTTGGTAAATTAGACGTGTAAACAATGAACCGTGAAAGCCGCTGCTCACCTCCTGACTGACAGTAATGATGAATGTTAAAAAAAAGGAAAAAAAAAAGATTCCAGTTCCTTATGAGACTATAAACAGAAGTGTAATAGGTTTGCTTCTATTTGCCAAGCGTAATTGAGCTTTTTGCCTCTCCATTTGACTCTCAGCCTTCTCCCCAGTTGAATGAACCATTGTTAGGGATCCAAGCTAATTTTGAAGGGGAGAAAGGAAAGATCTGGTACTGCTGGAATGATTCATTGCAGAGTGGAGCTTTAAGTTGTGATTATTTATAGTCTTGACATGACACCCACTCCCCACATAGTGGTATTTCCCTTCGTCAACAGAGCACTGTTTGGGGAGCTTTGTCTTGCTTTCAGGGGTCTTTTCCATTAACTGCTAGGACGGGGAAACGTGCCGTAGCGGTACTGTCACATATAAGGGAATTCACCTCTGATGAAAGATTGGATGTAGTCTGTTTTTCTTATTAGTTGGATACATCCCTTCCATTCTGTTTGCATGTCACAATAAAGGTTAAAGCACCAAACCAAGGTTCAGCAAGTGGGGAAATGGTCACCAGTTGTTTCTAAAAATGTGATGAAGCGATAGCCGGAACGTGCTCAGTGACAGAGCCTCAGAGATGCTTTAAATAGCCACGAACAAGAGACTGTGGGATAGACAGCAGGACAAAAAAAAATGTCTGAATCAGCGTCACATGGATCCACACACTCTAAAAAGGAACGTTAAGTGATTTATTTGGTTTTTTCCCCTCTATCTTTGGTCTACTTTTAAAAGCTGCCAATGTCTAAACAGAACCAGCTACTCGTTGCCCTTATAAATGTCACTGTAATCCTCTCACAGTAGATGAATGACTGTATTCATATGTCTCCCCCCCAACTTGTTTTTTTGTAACTTTTTCCGACTTTGGGAATACGTCTGCGTTACCAGCTGTGGAATGTCGCACCACATTCTCAATGGGGAACAGGTGACACACTCATTCACGGTGTCTCTACTTAAAGGCAGCCCTTTCCTTTTCTGTTCTTCCCTTGTTGTCTTTTTTATCTTCCCCCTCTTTTCTGCTTTCGATTATATTTTATTACTCAGTTCTGCAGGGCAAGTATGGCTTCCCGTCTGGGAGTTGGGGTGGGGGGTGGGGGCTCTCTGTCAGAAAGTGACTCACACTGGGTTAATCTCATGCTCACAGGCCACCAAAAAGACTTGTTTGTAAGGCGCCTGTCATGCTGCTTGAGGCTGTCAGTCCCTGCAGGATTAAGGTGTGACAGCAACCTTTGACTGATGGCGCCCTGCATATTAAAATAGCAGGACTACTGTCTCTTGTACTTTGTACAGCCACCACACTGTGTCAGTGTCAGAGAAAAATATGACACCAGTTGCCAGAACAAGTTGTATAAGCAGCTGTTACTCTTTTCAGGGCTGCTGATGTGATTTGGTTTGAATGTCCAGCTTTACTGTAGATCAGTGGTTCTGAAACTGCGAGGAGCAGGGCCAATGCAGGCGGGACGACCAGGTGAAAAATGTTGAATGAATATGACTTCATGAGGGGATAAATAAGCAAACGGTGATATTGTGCTGGAGCTTTATTTAAGTTGGATTCTTGTTTTTATCGATGACTGAAGGAGCGTATTCCAGAAAACCTTGATGATGATGTCCTGTGAAGTATTTTGTTTGCGTTGCCTTTAAATCAAACCTTCACTAAAACTGGAGTTACTGCTTCTTCTTTTCTGTCTTCTTTTTAAGCTGCTTCTTCTTATACTTTTTATACTTTCCCCCCAGCTTTACTGGTGACAGTGTTAGCAAATGTTACCTTACCTTAGATTAAGACTTTATAACACATGTTCGACTGCCTGATCTGTAGTTCTGGACATTTCTAGACACATCAATGTATATGCACCCTATCTGCATTTTAGTGGACAATATTACTGGACAAGCTAAAGTTAACGTGAACAAATTTACCTAATTTGCACGACATTTTTGCACAATTTTGGGTAGGAAGGTTTTACAGTGATGCTGAGGACCGGCTGTTCTGTGTTGTCTGCTGTCCTTCCTCTGTAGCTGTCTGGTGGGGAGTGCCATCTAGAGGTGGGGGTCAGTGAGGGTCAAGAGTGGAGTTATGTGACTCTTGTGCAGCAAATTGACAACATGTAGTATGATTAATATATAACTTACTGTTTCATAAGCCTGTTATAGAATGGAACATATTTTAGTATTGGTAGCTTTTCAGGATATTTAAGGTTTTTGGTAGAGGAGATCCAACTTGAAAAAGATGAAAAGGGAGGAGCAACTCCTGTGTGAATGTTGGCTGGGGCATTTGCCTCTTTATGGTCCTTGCTTTGCCATAAAAAGCATCAAATTGTTATTAACCATGTGCCTTGGAGATCAAATCCATCATTGTCTGGAAACGATAAAACACGATGCTCAAATATTCTTTTCATCGCTTGTCACTACGTCTTCAGGCATAAAAATGTCAAAGTGGAACGGCTTTTGAAACGGAGCAGTCACATTGTCTTTTAAGGGGCTCCAGCTTTCGTTTTTACTTGTTTCGACTAGTGATATCTACTCAGTATCATCTACCACAGGAGAGGATGAATATGTTTTCTTGTGAATGAATCATTTATCTGATGAATCTCTTGAAGTGTAAACGAAAGGATTCATGTAAAAGCAGACCTTATCAGCTAATTACTTGACAAGGATTCATTTTATTCTCCTTATCTGGCTGTCTGTTACCTCTCCAGTAGCACTTTTGCTGTCTCGTTGCTCTCTCCTTCTTCTCTTCTTTCTCAAAAAACTGACACTATTTTCAGAACCAAAATGATTATAATGTAACTTCAGCTCTCATTTTTTGAAGTGATGATTAGATCACAAGCATGTTATTTATTATTTACATAGCATTAATTATTATTTGAACTCACCAAGCAGTATCAGATTATGTAAAGTGTTTCTTAAACTGTGGCAGCTCACATACTGGGGTGGTTTGGAAGCTGAGCGTTGACTATATTGCTTCAGTAAAGTCCTGCTTTGTGTACTTTTATTATAAATTTAAAGACTATTGCAACATAATAGTATTCAGTTTAATTCGGTTTTAGTTATATAGTACCATACAACAACAACACTCACTTTAAGGTGCTTCATTTTGCTTCAGAGAAAACCCCAGAAGTTAGGTGACCCGCTATGAGCAAACACTTGGTGACAGCGGGAAGGAAAAACTCCCTCTTAGCAGGAAGAACCCTCTGATAGAACCAGACTCAGGGAGAGGTGTCGATCTGCAGTGACCGGTTGGGGGTGAATGGATGAAGACAAGGCAGAAGACGCACTGTGGAAGAGAGTCAGAGATTAATAATAACTAGCGATTAAATGCAAAGTGCTGTATAAACACAGAGAGGTGACTTAAGAAGAAACACTCTGTATGATGGTAAGTCCCCAGTAGCCTCGGCCTATTGCAGCATATCTAAGGGAGAGTTCAGGGTGGCCTGATCACCTTAACTATAAGCATTCACAGCCATGCTAATTACAAATGGCCATGCTCCGCTGTTAGCATCAGTTAGTGTATCTTTATTAAATAAAGATGTGACTGTATGTTTAAAAAGTGTCAGAGAGACAAACCCAACAACTAGTCATGAAACTGATCTTTGTTTTGTCCATCTAGGTGGAACTTTCTCCTGCTCCTGTCAGTATGCTCAGCAGCACTCTCTGGAGAAGATTACGCAGCTCAAGGTAAGCAACAGAACACTTATGCATGACTAAAAGTCAGCATTTTTTTTTTTTTATTATATGAAAGCATTTTATTAGATGCCCCCCCCCCCCTTGTCACTAGGACATGTGACTCACTGACATTTGTCATATAGACGGTATAAAAGCTCCTGTCTGTACCCCACTCAAATCAATAACAGAAAAGTGATGCTATGTAACACTTGCAGGGGCCCTATTGAAGCCGATCAGGTGTGAGCCAGGTTATTCACATTAAGTGAGTGGGGTGTCTGCTATTTATTGCATTCATGGCTTGTCAGTGACTCTGTTTTAACATTAGCCTCCTGTTACCTGACATAAAAACCTCCTGACTGAGATTTCAAATAAATTCCATGTTATATGGTGTGGAGATTTTAATTCTTGGGAGAACACTGACATCATATTGGTACTTGGTGATGGCAGGTAGCCGGGTATATTTGGTCCTAAAACTAAAATGTTAAATCAAGACAGCATGCTACATATTGCATTGTGAGTTTAAAGTCATTAAGTACAAAACAAAACACAACAACTCAAATATAAACTTTTATTTCAATGTAGGCTAGACACAGAATCAGCAGTGATTAGCACTCGCTAATTGACATTGCTGGATCCCCCCATTCAGTGCAGCAGCCCCAGTTCCTGATCGCAACTAGCTGGATAAAGAGTTGTTGAATCTTTTTATGGCTTGCACAATAATAGTCAAAGAAGAAGTCCAGCAGCAGCTGCAGAAATGGGACCAAAATGCTAAAGAACAGAGGCAAGACAGAATGACAGAAACAGGAAATAAATACAGAATATATAAACTGACACACAGTTGTTAAGAAAAAAGATTTTTCTTCCTATAGCCTTGAGGCGACAGTTGTGATGAATTGGTGCTATATAAATAAAATCAATTTGAATTGAACTGTTACTCAGAAAAATGTAAGTATCGTCAATAAATGAGCCATATACAAACCAATATATGAGAACCGATATATACATATGCAAACTTTGGCGTCATTCTTCTCCTATTAACATATTTTTAAATGAAAAGAAACACGGTTACTATCAGAACACATAGACTAGGATTACATGCGTTTTTAAGTAGCGTATCTTTACATTTACACTGTAAGCATATCTTTCCTGGAAAAGTTAGAAGCTAAGATGAAATAAAACCACTGGAAGTGGCTTAAATGCACATCAAACTACTCATTCTTGTAATGCTTCCAGTAATTACATCAGCTGATGCCACAAACTCTTTAGGGATCCTAAAGAACTCGTTAACTGGGATCCTTCAGAACGGTTCCTACAGAACTCCTCTAATGTTTACGATGCCTTGTTCATAATACAGCTCAACCACATCACACCCTATTTCTGCTTTTATCTTGGAGCACATACAGTACATATAGGAACAGCAAGTGCACACAGGAATTCCTCTTTAGCTGCTCTTCTGATCACTTTTAACCTTCTTCCTTAACATGCCCGCTCTTGCTCTCAGGGCCATGGCATGCATTTAAAAGCAGCATAAATAACCGTTGTACCTTTGTTTCCTCCCTCTCTGTTTTTTTCCCCTCCTGCTACATTTCTGACTCAGTGCTCGCATCTCTATGGTCCATCAATGAAAATACTAAATACACCCATAATGTAAAGTACATGGCAGAAATGCACATACAATGGGAAGAGGAAATCTTAGCTTGGCATGTTTTGGCAGCTGTGCCTCACCTGGTCAGGTGTTGGGGGTGAAGTGATATTCATCTTTATTTTTAAACAGAGCAACAAGGATGAGAAGAATTGGAGGTGAGAAGAGCTGAAGTTAGGTGATCATAGATAGAGTTGTTATTTTTGCTGGGCTCTGCTCTATCAGTGGATCTACATTGATTTGGGATCTTTTAACTATAATCTCATCTCTCACCCTGAGTCTGACTTTCTTGAAAGAGTAAAGTCTTGTTGAATTAGGCACTGAAGCAATAATATAAAAATATGTCATATCCTGGGGTCTGTTCCACTATTGCAGTATTGTCTTATCTAAGGCTGACCTCATGATTAGTCCTCACATAGACTGTTTATGTGCCTTGTCTACTGCCTCTTGCAGTGTCCCTCCCCTTATGCCATCATGCAACGCCATGTCCCCACGTATCACGGGTGATACGTGATGGCCCGCTCCAAGTAGAATCAATCCATCATAATGAGGGGAGGAGGAATGAACAGACAGCGCAAGAGCACCTTGTCTTAACGTATGAGACAGATTAATTGGGATCTCGTCTGACATTACCTCAGGCAGTGAATGTGGAGGACATCACAGTGAGCGCTCAGATCTTCTGCAGACAGATACTCCTCCTATCAGAGCTGCATGACTAAAAATGCTGTGAAAGCACATTGTCTTTATCTCTGTAGTCTTCTTTTCTTTACCTCTGCTCTGGCACCCAAACAGTATGACAGAAATGGGTTTCATCTGCTTCTTAACAGGTCTTAGAATGAGGTAAATACAAGCTGAGATAAACGACAGCACATGTATATGAAACAAAATTAAAAATTAAGTGCACCCTGTGATTCAGGAGCTCAGTCTCATATCAGTGTGGAGGAACGTTGGCCCGACCTTGTTTACAATGTTGCTTCAGTTCCTTGTTTATTCTCTTTTATGGTCCCATCATAACATTGATTTTTTTCTTTTTCAGCCATTCTGTAGTAGATTTGTTGCTCTGCCTTTATTCTGTTGCACGACATAGTGGGAGGCAATATTGGGTTGTTAGGCAGTTGGCCTGCATTGGGCTCTAGAGTTCATGGTTGACTAAAAGAACAAGACAAGAACTTCATGGAAATCGAGGTTCCTGAACGTTCTTGTTTAGTTTTGGTCAATTAAGCCCAAATCATCACCCTTACACAAGTTTGTGCTGATATGCTGTGTTTGGTTCACACCAAATGTGGTACTGTGCGTTAAGGCCAAAAGACATTGGTCCAGAAGTCTTGCGTTTTGTTCAGATGAAACTTTGGTTTTTAACGGGAAGACATTTTCTCCTTGAAACCATTCCAAGCGAGCCATATTTCTTCAGTCTTTTTCTAATTGTATTGTCATAAACTGTAAAATTTAACACACTAACCGAGGTCTATATAGTTTCTCTGTGCATTGCACAGACTGACCTCCAGGAGTATTTATCCACTCCTGGGAAGATGGATTCCACACATTTGTTTGAAAATTACCTCAAGACCCTTCCCAGAATGATGCGCAGCAACAATTACTGACATATATTTTTAAAATGTTTGGCTATTTGCCTCTATTGGATAATAAATACAGATGAACTCAGGAAGAGAGAGAGAGGGGGGAAGACATGCGGCAAAGGGCCACGGTCCGACTCAAACCTGCTGCTTTCTGGCCATGCAGCATGTGGATGCTCACGCTCTTAGCTAAACTGGTGCACTGACTATTGCTCATTTAAGATCATTTCTGATGTCGTTCCTCCTTGGCAATGTGTTAACACACCTGAATGCTAAAGACCTACAAAGTGCCAAAACATCTGCTTTTCACAGAGGTACTCACACTTGTTGCTGTTCAGATCATCAATTGCATCTGATTAGCTGCTATTAACCCTCTCAGTTCCTATGGAAGCAGTGTACTTACTTCAGCATGCTGGCTTAGTTTTTGTTACATGAATAATAACGTGGTGTAATATATCATGTTTTATTGCTTTTCCAATACCTGCTAAGAACTATCAAATTTTTATTATATCTTAAACCTTAGTGTTGAAAGAGGGTGCACTTTTTTTTAACCTGACTACAACATTATGGGCAAAGTTCAAACATTAAAAAGATCATTATTTCCCTGCATCTACATATTCACACCTCTAGAGGTCAAATGCTCAGTTTAGGATTTTCGTATTTTTCTAACTCTTCTAACTCTTCACCGAAGTCTTTTCGATAGCAAGCGTATAGAGCATGGAGTTATTAAGGGTATACAGAATGTTCTGAAGGATGCACTTTATGTCTGTGTCTCCAGGCGTGTACTGATCCCACTTTTTCTCTCAGGAAATTGATTCTGATGCCTTTTCTATATGCCGAGTAGCAACAAGCACAGACCCCACTCTTCAGTTCTCTTTTTCAGACTAAAAAAAGCTTATAACACTTTAAGAAGACAATACTATAATATGTGGACACTGGTTTAGTTTGTTTTTTGTTTCCACTCACAGTAATTCTACATTAACTGGCCCGTCTATCAAGCTGGTATTCCCAAATACGGTGGAGTCGTTTCTTCAGTGGAACGTAGTTTGTCAAACTGTTGCTGAGATCTAAACACTGAACAAACGCTTCTGTGTGACTGCTGTCTTCGTCTGCCAGTGCACTAACAGATACCTCCATGCTTTCTCTTGCATGTACACAAATAAGTGAGGCCATCATTTGCAATTCAGTTGATATTTAAAGTTGAATTATGTGTGCAGCATCCTTTAATCACAATCATGTACTGACATGTATCATCGCCAGTTTGCTGTGTTTTTTGAATGCAAAGCTCGACAGAATGTGCTCTGTATGCAAGTTCAAAAAGGAGGAGGAGTTTCCTGTATTCTGCTTACATGCTTATCTTGCCCCTGCTTCTCATCTGGGCTACAGCTGCATTTCTGTTGCTTGAAAAACATGGATTGGATCATTGGCATCATGCTGACATTGTTACATGGCCCTAATGGCTCACTAACTTTTCTTAGTCATTTAACTTCAAAAAGAAAATAACTCTTGTCCGGTCCCAGTTTGGGTTCAGTACAGGCAGTATCTCTAGTTAGGGCTGGATCAAATGACCCCAAAAGCATCTGTTAGTTCCGCTGCTGCAGGCTCTGGATGCTGGGACACTTCCAATGATGTGATAAGCACTTCTTCTCCAGTCCCTTCTTTTCACTCCTGATGTCACTCCTTGTGTTTTAGCCTGATTATTTGGTCAAAAAAAATAACAGTTTTGTAATTATTTCATATTTAATGCCATCGAATTAAAATCTTTTGTCCATGAGCAACATGTTTAGGCATCTATAGAAGATTTTCATCATTTCATTTTTATTTGTGAATCTGTAAATGCGAATGCAAATATTTTTCTCAGTATTATTAAAAGAGAGAACTATCAAGGTTTGCATTCTTAAATAGTTTTGAAAGGAATAATATATAAAAAAGAGGCTGGCTGATATAGGACTTAAAACTGATACCGATATTTGATGATATAATAATAGATTTTTCATTATACTGGCCAATAGCATTTTTTCCCTTTTTGTACTGACACACAAAGCATAAAAAGGTTTTATTAACATTTGTTAAGTTAACTTTTATTCGTGCACTCTCTGCCTAACTCTGCTCAGATCAGCTACCAACAGGGACGTTGCAGAGTGCCCTCTGGTGGTCAGATTACACTAAATTAGCACTGATAACGTGGTTAAAGACTCATCATCCTGTTTTTTCTTTACTTTTAGCCCGCCATCCAATTTAAGGGTTATGCCACAGCTGCCCTATATTAAAAGTTTTGGTAATTCCTTTATGTTTTTTATGTAATGGTTTGTCTACTGCAAGTTTGAAAATGTGTTTTTAATGCTAAAATATAATTGTTGTTATCCATGAACTTCCAAATTTGCAGTTTTACAAAAAACAGAAAAAAGTACTAAAGCAAAGTGTTACCAAATCATCAGGATGCAAAGTGAAAGTTATTAAGTTGTATTCCAGAACAGAAAAATTAACTTTAGCGGTTGAATGTTATGCTCAATTAAGTCCAGACTGCTGGCTAAAATTTGAGTATAAAAATGTGAATTCAGTTTTTTATTAGCGTCACATGACACATTTTTTTTTTAAGCTCTGTAAATGCCGATGCCAATAGATCAGCAAAAGTCCTACCGATAAAATAGTTCGATGCAAGTAAAAATGCAGGCTTTTAGTACCTGCTGAATAAGTTAACTCCCCACTCTTCTTGTATCAGAGATATATTCTCAGCAGGTTTCAGTTTTAATTCTTGAAATAAACAAGGTTTTTATTAGGAATTTAAGTTGAAATGTCAATGTAACCTGGTGTTGGACCGCCAGCTTTGACTGAACTGCAATTGAATGTATTAAAACTGTTTTGAAACATTTTTGCGATTTGTACATTTTCATAAAATTGTGCAATTCATTCTCAGCATATTAATCTTATAAATATTTCTGTCTCTGTCCTTTAGGAGTGGATATCCTTTATCGATTGGGGCTTACAACTCAAAGCCACACAGACGATACCTACGAAAGGACAAGCTCACAGCCTCCCACTTATGCAAATGTTCCCTCACCTTTCGATGGCCCCTTTTCTGGATATGGGGTGTTGCTCGACTCAAACTCCCTCTATGAGGCGCCAGTGCCCAATCTATTCCCTTCAGAATTTGGCGAAGAGTTCTCCGTTATAGTTAGCCTAAGCTCCTGGCGAGCAAACAATGCATTTCTTTTTAGTATCAAGGACGGGAGGGACCGGTTGCGTTTTGGCATTCAGTTGCTGCCACGCAGAGTGGTGGTTTATACTGCAGAGAAAGCCTCCATCTACTTCAACTACAACTGGCAGGATGGGCGGCTGCACCCTTTTGCTGTTGGGGTTCGTGCACGTTCAGTGTCCTTCTATGCGAATTGTGGAGGGGTGCAACAGTGGGAGCAAACCCTGGGGAGATCTCAAACACTGGGGGAATCTGGGGGTGTCTTCACTCTGGGAAGGATGAACTCCAAGGCGGCACCATTTAGTGGTCAAGTCTGCCAACTGGATATCTATCCCTCAGCCCAAGCTGCCGCGCACTACTGCAAATATCTTAAAAAACAGTGCCGGCTGGCCGACACTTACCGATTACATTTCCCACATTCTGATTCGGATATTGTGGTGAATGACCCCCCTTCTAGCCATTTGACAAAGTCTCTTCTTGGAGTAGCAGCTACTCAAAATACACCCATCGGATCTACAGCAGCCATTAAACTATCCCCAGATCGTTTGGTCACGCAACATTCAACTCTGAGCCCACCAATACGACCTCATCTGGGGGACCAAGAAAACATTTCCACATTGAAACCATTATCCCACTCTGCCACATCATCACTCCAGCTTTATAGCCCCACCGTAACTACGCCAAGTAGTCAAGCAGCTCTGGGTTTTGCCTATAGCACAACAACCACCACTACCAAAAATGTGTTGGCTAAAGACACTACGCCCCAGGAGGACACTGAACACTCTGAAAACAGCACAGAAGAAGAGAGAAATTCCAGAAAACAGCCAAGTCCGGATGCCACTACAGGTGTTGTTTCCCTGGTCAGACAGAGCCAACTAAAGGAAGAACTCAGGAACAACTCCATCACAAGCTCTAGGGACTCTGGCTCCACAAGCCAAAATTTCCCAGAGACTCATCTGAGAGCCAATAGCACTACTTTGTACAGGGAGAATCAGGTGGACACCTCAGAGCAGAATGATTTGGATGGCAGCTATGATGACGTAGACATGGGAGAGTATGATTATGGATACGAGGAGCCAGAGTTCTTCTATGACTACCAAGATGGTTTACATGGCCCCAAAGGAGAGCCTGGTCCTCCGGTAAGTGACTGAATTTATGAATCACAAGCAGAGAATTAGAGCTTATAGAGAGCACTGATGTGCAAACCAGTGCATTGCTATGTATATTTTAGAGTCAAATTCTGAGTGAGCCACAATGTGGCTTGATTACACTCAGGAGACATGCAAAATGTTTTGGCAGTGAAATGTAGTGATTTAAAGGTGATGGCATGTCCAAGCAGTGTGCTTTTTTTCCCTGTATCTACAAGTTGTTAAGTACTGCTAGGTATTTTTGCTCTTATGTCAGAGGATAAATCTTTGGAGGACTGGAGCTATACCCCTGGATTTAAAAACAAAAGAAGAAGAAAAAAAAAGCACTTGATCCAGGCCATGATGTAAGCTAGTGGCTCTGGACACACTTGTAGTTCATGAGTGTGGCTTATGTTTCCATGTGTGAGATGTGTTAGGCATTCTTGGTGCTCGGTATAAACATGTGAGTGTATAATGATGCAGAATGCCTGGATTCATCTTTCCGTACTTACAGCGCCTGCAGACCTGTAGGGAGAGACACATCTTATCCAGCATCGTTGTTTCAATTTATCTACATGTCCCAGAGCCTAATTGAGCTATACTGCGGTATTTTGTCAAAATCACACTCCCATGCTGCTATACTTCTTTCTCAATAATGTTTGGAGGGAAACACATTTTGTCCATATCATCTTCGCGCTCTCCTACCCTTGTTTCCTTTCAGGAGACCAAACATTAACCAAATGTTATGACTCTCGTACCCAAGGGAGAATCTTCTAACATGGTTAACATTGTCTCATGACTTGAGATGTGCTTCCAGTGTCCTGTCATGGACAGGCTCTTTTCTTGGAGAGAAACTAAAATTGCCTTAAAACAGAATTAAAGATGGACTTTAGTTCTATGGGAAAATCATTTTTCGAGGCATAATCGAGCATTGTGAACATGACACAGTTTAAGCCACAGGGCTTTTTCCAGCGGATCGTATTTTGGCAAAAATGTTTAATTAGCCACAATGTTTGTCCTTCGGTGCTGTTATCTTTGACAGTTTGTGTGTCTTGGCTACTCTGACCGCTTAGATGCAGGCATGTTTTGAATGCTGGGTCAGCTGAAGGTCAGTGGCTAGCTCTTTGTTTGAACTTGAAGACAAGCTGGCCTGTTTCCTCAAGGGAAGTATTTCACAGTTTTTCAGCCACATAACTGGACGAGTACAGGTGGCCTCCTGCACTCCCTTTAATTTGTGCTTTAGCATTTTTGCACTTTTTTTCATTAAGAAAATTCAAAACAAGCAAAGAAGCAGCAGAAGAAAGCGTGTCTTACTTTCCCCTTTGTCTATAATATGATGTATATGATTTCTTTTACTCACAGTGACAAAAAAAACCCCAATTTAAAATGACTCACTGCTTCAATATTGGCCCAATTTAATGACACAACATTATGAGTAGGTTGACCCCACTGCAAAAGTCATGCCCAAGCTCTGAGGAGTGATGGGAGATTATCATTTTTAGCGTTCTCTGAAGTTTCAGAAGGAAACCAAGTTTTTCACTGACAATAAAAGCACTTTGAGAATATTAGGAGTTTGCAGTTATTTCAGTTGGAGTTGTGCAAGTTTGGACTACTCTGCTGTTAGAGGTATTTGAAAATGAGACTGTGATTGCCAGTCCTCTTCGAGACAGTGAGCTAATATAGTAACATGGAACTCCACAGCATGTGTCGGAAGTTAATGTTGTCTTGACTACTATACTCGGACTTTCATCAGCTTTACACTTCACTTCTCTGTAGAGGTTGGGTGTCATGAGCACGTAACAAAGGCCCCTGCTTTCTGCAACACGTATGGATGTGGGTAGTTGCGCATGGAGTAGGCTATGGATTGCATTGTTTTTGTAGCTCGTTCTGAATTAGGATGTAGCTTTGTTCAGTTAAGTGGGCCACGGGGTTGGCTGGACTTTGGCTGAGCTAAATCACTGTCAGTTTTGCTACTCCTTTGCCTATGACCTTAAGATGATGTTGCATGACATAAACCTTTTTATTCTAGTATTCCCAGAATATTTTACTTCCATACGAACGTCTTTGGTCCGGGCTTTGCTAAAAAACAAAAAATCAACAAAAAACCTTTACTGTATTCTTCGGACTATAGGGCGCACTTAAAATCCTTTAATTTTCTCAAAAATCGACAGCGTGCCTTATAATCCGGTACACCTTATGTATGAATTCTGGTTATGCTTACTGACCCCAAACCAGTCTTATGTGGTACATGGCGCTCAAAAATCTATCAAAAAATGTTTTAGTATGACTTTGGTAAGCTATGAAGCTTGATGGATTGTTGGAGCATTACGGCTACCATAGTCAGGAGCCTCGTGGAGTAACCTGGGTCAAACTCAGGTCCCAAAGTCAAATGAACACTGCGGCATCACTGAGAGTTAAAAACTGTCTAAATTCTGTCATGAAATGAAAACAGAATTTATTAAACTTAACAGAGTTAGAAGTTAGCAGGAAGTTGGCTCCTAGTTTCCACCTAAACATGATATAGCATGTTCTGACTGAGAGATTTGTGAAAAATATTTAACGTACAGCTCTGCTGTCACTTCAGACATAAATGAAGACAGAAAACGAAACAACAGTGACGTTTGTAGGGTTACTGAAGTTGGACTAGCTGGTATATAATGATGAGCTACGTGATCGCTAGTGACACAGCTATGTTGGCATAACATAAACACAGTGAAGCTGGAGGATGAACGCTAACTTTTTTCCACTCGATAAAAATTAACATGAAGGTTCCCAATGGTTAGAGACAAATGCAATCGCATGGCAGGATGCTGTAAACGGACCAAACTTCAGTCGGGAGAACAACTAAGATAATCCATCCACAATACGAGGTTAGTCATTAATATACTGCAACAACTTGGGAATAGAGCAGCTGCCAGAGAATTCAACATTAATGAAACAATGGTACAGAAGTGGAGGAAGCAAGAAGAATGAGTTGAGTAAAATTTGACTTATCTGACTGTTTTGTTTTGCGTAATGCGCCTTATAATCCAGTGCGCCTACAGTATATGTTTAAAAGGCAACGTGCTTTTATAATTTCTTTCTGCCCACATCTCTGGTTTGCTAACTTGGCCCCACATGCTGATCATTACCGGCTGACCTTTCTAGAAAAACAGCACTCAACAGCACCATCTGGTGGTCTGATAAAATGTACACTTTATATTTGTTGCGTGTGTAAGATATTGATATTTGGTGTCTTTATGCTTATACGGTATTGCAATGTAAAACACTGAAATGCTGTTGTACTGTTCTGCTTTCATGTGTTTGATTGGCCTGAACAGGTCACTGGTTGTGTCCAATGTCTCTTTATACATTTTTTTTTTTTTGCTTTTAGCTATTCCATGTGTTAATATTGAAATATATGAAAGTTGAAATCAAAGCTGATGCTTGGTTTTTGTATTTATCAGGTCCAGCTTATCCCAAATAGCTCTTAGAAATTAAAAAAAACAACAATCCCAAAACAAGAACTCGAGTCTCGGGAATAAAGGAATCTCACCAAATCTTCATTTATTTTATTTATTAATTTATTATAACTTTATTTATTCAGGAAAAATGACTCTTATAAAAGAAAATCCGATTCTCAAAGTGTGTCCTGGCCAACAGCAGTATAAACAAAAGACTTGCATAAACTATAACAAACACATAAAAAATTGTTTTCACTGAAATACAGCCAATTAAAAAAATAAAATACAGGACTGGAGTGAAATTCACTCATTTATTTCCTCCTTCCCCTTTGAAAGTAAGTTGCTGTGTGTAAACAACGTACATTGGTTTGTGTGAATCAACTCAACTTTATCGCAGTGCAGCAGTTAAAAAGAGTTCTTCAAAAGAAGATTCATTTTGCCCTTCAACTTTCAAGAAAATTGACCTTTTCACTGGACACTGTTGAATATTTGACCCCTATCTTGGCAGCACAGATGAAGCCTTTGAATACGGTCATTTTAGTCGATCAGTGCCTCCGTTTCTTTAGGCCCTGTTGTTGTGGCGAAGGCGGTGGTGTGCTCACACTTTCCATGTCTCTGTATGTGGGAGTCTGGAGGAACAAACAGCTGTTTCTTTATTTATGTATCCCTCTCTGCCCATCTACTTCTCTGACAAGAGATGCTCCAGAGTGCCCTAAAAACACTGAACAGTAAACAGTCTTATCATCTAGTTTTGGGAATATTAACATTGTTTTGGGGGAGAGAAGGAAATGGTGTACAAGTATTTCTTACATGTGACTCTGACCTTTTCCCAAAACATTTTAAATCTTTCTACACAGCTAAACAGAGTGAATTTAGTGCATATGTCTGGCACACAGCCCTGTTAAAAACTAAGTACACCCTATTCCTTCCATAGATGGAAGGTAGCAGCTAGGTGCTAATAATGAAATGTGCTCGATTGATCGATTATCAGCAAGTGTGCGCATCTTTAGCAGAAAAGCAGAGGTTTTGGCAGTCTGCTGGTCTAGAGCTTTCAAGACTACACAAGACCGCAATTTCCCCCATGTTCCAGCAAATTCACCTCATGGCCAGACCTTGCAATGCTCGGAGAAACTGCAAAAAACCCAAGAGCTACATCTCAGACACCAGAGGTGCCAGTTAGCATGTTAAATCTCATGGTTATAGTATATATCGAAAAGGACTGAACAAGTACAGCTTGTTTAAGACAAAGTCTCTTATTTCTAAAACGAACATGGCAGCACAGCTGGGGTTCTCAAAGGTGTGTTTGAATAAACCAGAAGAATCCTGGAACAAAGTCCTTTGGACAGTCTTTGGACTGTCAGCACGGTGGAGGAGACGGTGAATGCTGGGGACCTTGCAGTCAATGATTTGACCTTGAAGGCCTCTGTATGCCAAAGTATTCTAGTCAACTGTCAACTCTGTTTGACAGCTAAAGCCTGAGACTGGGTCATAACAGGACAATGATGCCAAGCACAGCAGCAAGTCTACAACATAAAGTGAAAAAAAGAATGAAGGTGATTCAATGATCCAGTCAAAGCCCAGACCTCAGCCTAAGTTGGATTTTCTGGTTTCTACTTAAATTTTCTAAAACTCCTTTCCACACATTTGGCTTATAATGTGAAGCATTTGATAAACAGGATGTAAGAGAATTTTGAAAGAGCACATTTTTTTAAATAAATGAACAAACAAATAAATAAATAAAAGAAAAAGCTGGCTCTACATTTGGACTGTATGAGCTCACTAAGTTTCTAACAAAACAAAACCTTGAATGATAAAATATCATATCCTTAATTACATTTGTTACTTAAAGTAGAACTGAATGCACATGCTTATGTTTCCTATTAACTGCTTTAACTTCTTGATTTCTAAGCACAGGCAGGATTTGTTGTTCTGCTTCCATTTTGGCCAATTCAATGCTGTTTAGCCCTGTATACTCTATGCATATACTGGATGGTGATTAGGAATAGTCTAGTCGGAGAACACCGGTGTCTGTCTAATAATGAGAATGTAACTTGCTTTACTTGATCAGGACTTTCTTGATTGGGCTTTTAGATGCAAACATTTGACTCTTTTCTTTAAACTTTGCAGCTTCTACACAAATATGCCTAAACAGTGAACTACATGTTATTGCTTGCCATTAATGCACTGTCTTCCCCCCTCTTCCCTGTCTCTATCTATGTCTCCTTCCTTTCCACATTTCTGGTTTCTTTCTGGTTTAGGGTCCTCCTGGTCCCCCTGGTTTACCTGGTCCTCCAGGAAAAAGAGGCTCTCGGGTGAGTAATCTCTGCAAAATCACTCCTCTTGTGCTTTTCCGCTAGTCACCACCACATCTGCGACCGTCGGGAAAGCAGTGCTGACAGACAGTGTTGTGGTTAGTGTGATTAAATCCACTCTGATCTCAAGACTACTTTGTATACATCTGCTAAGGCTGATGATGCAACGCCGCAATCACGCCACAGGCCCTGGAGGCATCTTTTAAACAGAACAAGGCGTGTTTTATTTTTAGTGTCGGACGGAAGGTATAAATAAGTCATAAATAAGAATAACTTCAGTCCCGTCTTTGCTCGACCATGCGGAGACACATCATCATGGCTAATTTAACTGATGGAATGGAAATACCAGCTGCACTTAAAGAAAACATTTAGCATAATTAAGTTGATTACTTGTAGATTTCAGCACCTGCTTCTTAACCACATCAAGCAATGACTCCCGAGTGTCAGCGCCAATGCATTGATTATTAATGGGGTAAAACCATGTTAGTTTATTTAGGCGAGTGGCCCTCTGTGGATATACTTATGTGCCTATGTGTACATGATTTCCTCTCTAAGATTAGCCACAGTTTTTCAGATGTGACAAAAAGGCAACATGCAACACTCACATACAGGAGTTTATCTGACCAAGATGTTGAAGCATTAGGTCAGATGGCATGATGTTAGTTGCAGCAAAAGATGAGCAAGGTTCACAACTATGTCATAGGACTTGGTGCTGTTTTGCCTGAGCCTCAGTTTTGGCATTGCTGTTACGCCAGATGACTGATTCCACTTGAAGGGAAGGTTTTAACTTAAGTCTGCATTTTAACAGCATGAAAAGCATCCTTAAAGAAAGACAGACAGGCTTGTAGACCCTAAGAGGTGGCATTCAGTTAAACATGTCTCCTATTACAGGATTGTAAAACACATGGCTGGTACAGAGCATACTTATCACCCTGTAGGCTAAGTCCGAAAGTCCAAACAGGACGAGGCTTTGGACCATTATGTGTTGGAAAGCTGAGGGCAGCGCACTCTAACTGTGTCTCTGCTGTTTCTGCACAGGATAATGGACTTTGTGGTCCAGAACCGTCCCTCGTCAGATGAACTCCTTGACATGACAACATGGGATAATGAATTACAGACATTGCTGATGTTGTTGTCAGTGCTGTCAACTAGTGTGAACTATCATGCCTGCAAGTGCAAGAGGCAGCTCTGGTGCTAATGTCATATTAGCGCTCAGATGTGTTTGTGCAGAAAGATGATATTGTATCCTATAACAAAGCTGTGCTGGGGGGAAGAGGCGCTGATTATCATAGCAGCTTTTGTCTTGCTGAGTTGCGTTTCTTTAAGGTGGACCTTAGTTGACAGTATGCACTTTCATTCAGAAGACATTAGGCACAGCACTGAAAAGTTGGAGCTTCTTTTTTTAGCTCTTGTTGTAGTGCAGAAAAGCCTGGTAAGCAGCAGGGGTACAGATGTGGAGGAATGCAGTGCATTTATGGTGGATGTGCGAGTGTGCATTTGACTGTGCACATGTAATGTCATAAAATAAATATATTGTTAGTGCTTATTGTTACTTGTTTTTAATATAGTCTAAAAGGGCCATCTCTGAGTAGAGTCTGAGCCAAGAGTACTGACAGGAAACTGCATGCTTTTGCAGAGCACAGGAGCTGCAGGCAGAAAGTGAAACTAAGTAGAGTGTTTGATCGAAACTTAAAGTGTGCGTGACGTGTAGAGGAAGTATATAAATAATCAGACTGGCGGCTCCTTTTTCAGACTGAAGCTGATGTTGTCTCTCTGCTCAGTCTCCATATTCCGGAATATGTAAAATTAAAGATCATTTTTTGAGTTAGACCACTTTGAGCCGTGTCTTTCTTTGCCGTTAAACAGTACAAAGAACTGGATTTAATAGTAGCTTTAAGCACATGTGGTTGCATAACTGTTTGCTTCCATGATATACTGATTTGCACTGAGGGCGAATGTGATAGAATAGATTTATTTGTTCATTTTAAATCTAACGGTGTGTGCACTTCTGAAGAAACTGCAATATCTTTGTGCAACTTTCTTGTTTCATCACTTTTATTTTACATTGCTGTGGAACATGTAACTATTCTGAACTCATCTCAAATTGAGCTGTTGACAGCAATGCACAGCAATTTCACGTTTCTCTCCTGTGTCTGTTCCAGGGTCCCCCTGGTCCACATGGAAAACCAGGACAGCCTGGATCACCTGGACCCAAGGTGAGCAGTATTCTCCAATAGGAGAAGGAGTGGGATGTATAAACAGCACTCTGTAAGAGTACCACACAGAGTTCTGGCTAGTACACTCTCTATGGGTGTGGAGAACGTCTCCTCACAGCCACAAGGGGCACCACTGAACCCAACACACAGGCCAGGGATGTTGTTCAGTTATACTCTGCTTTCACACGCTTTCATTAAAAAGATCTAGCCATATGCTTTTAGTCACCTTGTTTTGTAAAGAAGTGGAAAACCCATGGCTAAGTGCTGGTTTGTTTGAAAAGGACTCGTCACATTAGTGGGTTTTGATAACCATGTCGTCACTGCTCTCGTAGTTGGGGTGCTCAATCCATTGGCTGTGGCTGTGGATAAGGAAATAATGTGTGGTGTAAATTAATCGAAGCTTAGTGATCGGATTTTGCTGTTTTAGCCGACTTTTCAAAATGTACTTTAGGAAACTACTGAAACGAGGAATTGGCTTTAATGCACCATCAGTGCATGTGGGTTATTGTATAAAATACATTGAGAAGACAGTTGTACCAAAAAACTGTATAAATACACTCAACCTGCCATTTTTTATTTTTATTTTTTTTAAATTCTTATTGGCAGTAGATCTAATCATGCTATTCATCAGTGCGGCGTCCTGATTTCATGCTGTCTTCTCCTGACAAGGCCACACACAGCGTTTCTTGACATAATGGCTAGTTCAGTTAGAGGCATGTCAAGAGTTTGTTTTTAAAGGATAGTTGTACACAGTTGTTAGAGTCTGCGCTTTGCGTCCTTGAACATTAAATCAATCAAGCACATCAGCAGTGATGTCACTAAGTGGCTTAGTTATCTGAGAAATCCTGCAAACTCATGGAAATTTACTCTTCTGTAGTTAAAGTTTTTACTATATAGCAAATGGCATCAATTATAGCGACTGACATGCTGTTCCCTGAAGAGAAGAGAGTGTGTGCAAGAGGAATTAAACACAGCCAGATGTAGGCAAGCATGATAATAGCAGGCCTGTATATTGACACCGTGCACCAGGAGGAGACAAAGGCGGTTGTTTGTTTAAATGATACCCTTAGCTTAGATCGTTATTACCTTGGGTTTAACCACAGGGCATAATTGTGCCAGTCCTGGCTCATTAACCATAGCACTGATTTCATATAAAAAGGGGGAAGAAATCCAACAGAAAGCGTCACTGCTAAGCTTTTTCCCCAGCTTAGGACCAGAAACATCGGTAAGGCTGAGCGAGAATGTGGGCAGCGCCATGCACATGTTTGTGGTGGCTGTATTCCTTACTGTCTACCCACAGAGTGGCTGCCAAGACCAAGCAATCAATCAACAAACACTCCCGCTACAGGAGTCAAGCGAAGCACGAGTGGTTGTCCTACCCATCCCTCTTCATTGCTGATTGCCAAACTTTCCGACAAGCGAATGCCTCTTCACTTTGTTAGTACACGGAGAGAAGAATTCTATTTATGAGACTACCAAATGTTGTTTTTCTTCCTTGATTGTTGAAACAGCACAGAGAGGTGGATTTATTCTGTATCACCTCTGACCTTGCTGAGACGCTGAGATTTGGCTAAATTCCACTGATCAGCTATTATGCAACAGCAGGCCACCTGCCGGCTTTCTGTTCTATCAGCGTTTACTCCCACACTCATGTGGAAAAATAAAAGAGTATCTAATACCATAGTGACCGGTCAGTGAGTCACTCTCAGCCCTGAAACCCTTTGCGGAGGCAGGGAAGCGACTGAGAACCTCTTTGTCTCAGTTTTGGAAAACATCTCTTGTTGAAATGTGTTTTGTTTCTAGGACACTGGGAATATGGTTACTGACTCTGAGCCAATCTTACATTTTTGAAGCCTAATCTGAAATGTTATAAAGATAAGCCCTTAACCTGAAAGAGCCTGTCAGGCTGTCGACTTTATGCTCAGCCGACTGTTTTTTAAACAGGAAGGAACTGGTTTTATGATATGGCAGGATTTCTCTTCTCTCACTCGCTTAGCCTTTGTATGCCTCATTGGGTGTCAGTCAAAACTATGGAAATATGATGCTTAAAAACACAGGCAGGTAATCTTTATTTGCAGTGAGTGTAGACGGATAAGAAAAATGTAAAAAATGGGATTTACCAAAACGCTTAAATCAGGGGTAGGCAACTCCAGGCCTCGAGTGCCGCTGTCCTGCAGGTTTTAGATCGCACCCTGGGTTAACACACCTGAATCAAATGATTAGTTCATTACCAGGCCTCTGGAGAACTTCAGAAATGCTGAGGAGTCATTTAGCCCTTTAAATAAGCTGTGATGGATCATGGACACATCTAAAACCTGCAGGACACCGGCACTCGAGGCCTGGAGTTGCCTACCCCTGGTTTAAATGATCTTCTTTTCCTTCTGAACCAAGTTGTGATGAGTGGCACAACCATCATTTATGTGGCACTCATCAGTCTATTATTAGCAAACAATGAATACCAGTCACATTTAAACAGGTTACTTATGCAAAGAGAAGGCTAAAATAAAGATATCATGCGTACAGAAGGGAATTCACAAACTGATTTAGAAAAGGCAGGTACTTATGCAGTTGTGGTAAAAAGTTTACATAAAACGATCGTGGGAATGAATGTTGTGGTGATTTGGGGCTTTTAGTGTTTGTTTGTTATTTTTTTTTAACCGTTCTTTGTCCAGGGTGGAATGACTACAAAATCTTGAAAGTCTGGAAAAAGAAATTGCTGCTAAAGTTTGAATTTATTTTGGATTTCCTGTAAAAAGTATTTAGAGGCACCCCCATTATTATTGGATTAAATGTGCCTTAGCAAGTTGCAGATCAACCAGATGCTTTTTGTAGCCATTAAGAAGCTCGTGGCATAATCCTGGCTGGATATTTGACCATGTTTCTTGGCTCGGTAGAGTTTGTTTACAGTAGTTGGTTTTGTGGCACAGACTTGCTTTTAAGCACAGTCTACAAATGTTTAATAAGGCTGAGACCAGGGCTGTAGGAAGGCCGTTCAACTGTGGACAAATCGCTCAAAGTTTGTGTCATTTGACCCTAAAACATTTCTCTGGAAGATATCTAGCTTCTCCATGTGGGCAGCAGCAAGTTTCAGTCACGCTTGAAGATGTCAGTCGCCTTTCAGTCTATTGTGATGTAAATCTCACTTCACTGTGGACAGTGACACTGGTGTTCCAAGAGTTTCCAGTTCATGGCAGGGCTTGAGCTACCCTGGGAAGTTTTACTTGTGTACAATTATTTGATCTTAAAATCTGCAGTTTTATAGAGATATCGCCAATTAGTTTCTGGAATGGCCTTCCTGACACCGATTTCTGGTTGTTTATGTTTGTAGGTTTCCAGTCATTGGAATAATCACACAATCTAATCAAACAGGTTCAATTCAGTCAGTTTTCTTTACATTTAGTTCCTCCTCTTACTCTCCGGTATAGTTCAGTTGTAGAAACATTCCTCAATGTGATCTATGACATAAAAATAAATAATGCAAAGAATGGAAAATTGTGACGTTAGAATGAAGCAACATTCCCTTTGTATAGTTGAAAGCATTTTGGTGCCTGTCTGTTCACCTCCACATTTCAGTACATTTGTCTCTAAAAAAGAGGGTCTGTCATGCGTGTTCAGCTCATCATGCATGTAAAACACATTTATTAAACTGTCACAAAATATATCTGACTCACTCGTTTTCTTAGTATCCAAACCCAAATATTTTTCACAGTGTGCAAACTGTTGTGCTGTATTGCTGTTCCCCCTGCTTTGCAGGAACGGCTAACTATTCCTCACCAGGACACTTTAGTGTTGACAACAGCAAGTTGGAATGTCAGATTAAGTATTGGCGCTAAAATTATGTGACAGTCTACTGGCATTGCATCTTTAAGGCTGTCTGCTGTCTGGAGAATATTACTTTTAGTTGAATCACAACAGAAAAGATGTTCTGACCTAAATCTATTTCATACTGGGGAGGAAAGGCATGAGACCTCTGGCTGTTAAAGAGCAATATTGCTGTTCTGGAAATCCCTGCTTTGCTCCAGCTGCTTGTTTGGAGTCAACTGTTTCTTTCACTTTAATAACCAACTAACTAAGTAAAACAGACTAAGAGCTACAGTATGTTTCGTCTTCATTAAACCCATCAAAGACTCACAGGTGATGCTTGTCTATTACACAGATATGTGTGTAAGTTTTTGAAAATTGCCTCTTTACACTGCTACAGCAGATTATAAATAAAACAATCAAGATGTCAAATTACTTATGAACCCCGGCTGAAGGTTAAAGCCTCTGACTGTCATCCTACACCAGATGGCTTTGAATTTGGTATGCTTTGCTTTTTCATACCATACAAAATGCTGCATGCAGACCAATGAAAAAAGGCGGTAATCAGCTCCTTCCTTCCTTCAGCTGATTTTCAGTTTTTAGGATCTAAAATTACTTCTAAATTTCCCAGAATGTATCTAATGAGTCATTCTTTGTTATAAGTCTTTGCAGATGTCTTTTATGTGAGATGAGCATCAAATTCGGCATCAGACTCACTCCTTTACCCCCAATATTGTTTTTCTGGTTGCCACCACCTAGCCTTTTGCTGACAGCTATCTTAAGGGTTCACATACATTTTTATACACATACAGTGTAAATCAGGTAATCAAGCACTGTAGCCTGCATGTTATGCATGCTTTTTTTCTGCATACTTATTTTTGGACCTCTCAAAATCAGAATCTTTATGTATACTATTTTTGAGGTGTGGCAATATCTGGATGTGCGTGTCAGCAATAGATTATAAATGCACTGAGTGCCTGACATTATGACCTTGTGACCCTGTTTCTGTTCTAGGGTTCAAAGGGAGACCCTGGGCTGTCTCCAGGTCAGGCTCCACCAGGAGAGAAGGTGAGGAATCTGCCACTGGTCTCTGTGTCCGGCTCTCTGTCCCTCTGCTCTTTGCTATGTTTGTCTCATGACCTCACGAGTCGTCACCCCCACCATTTCACTTACTGGCAGCTTTTGGTTTATGATGTGGGATTCTTTTTTTTTCTTTCTTTTTTTTCTTTTCAATGTTGTGAAATGATCCCAAAATGTTGACACAGTTCATACAGTAGAGTGAGTACTAAAGATTATTCAGCAAGCCCGTGACAAGTCACAAAATACTAAACAGTTTTCATTCATGATGATGAAAAACAGATTTTTCATTTAATTTTACGAGGCGTTTTCAGCATAAATTCATTTTCAAATACTGCAACAATGACTTTGAGGGTATGGTTTTCTTTATCCCAATGAATTCATTCTACATTGACTTTAAAGCCTTTTTTATGCATTTCTGAGTCATTTTATTGTCACTGATTTGTCTGACATCATCACGGCTGGCCTTTGCTTAGTCTATCATCTCTTCTGTCTCATTTTCTTCTTCAAACATGATTACAGTAATGATATTCCTGAGAAGCACTGCTACATTTTTTTGAAGTGATTAATATCCAAACATATCCGTCTTCCCTCAAGTTTAAGGAGCTTCGCATAGCAAAGTATCATAGCTCTCTTTAAATCCTCGCTGGGGTAAACAGATTAATGTGAAGTTTCAGTAGGGTTCGTCCAGTATTACTTACAAGTTCATTCGTAGTGCAGTGCTGTTATCACTCTTGTACCTCCATGAGACTTAAAGATGTGTGCAGCTGCGAGTGTTGTTTCACACTGTTCAAAATTGAGCCAACAAAAGAAAGGAATGCTGGGAGTTATTTAAAACACTGAGGAAACATTTTGGAAATAGCAAGGAAATCTTTTTGTTGCCCAGATGCAAATTTAGGGTTAGCAGAACTGGGGTAGATCCATCTATGGGCATCTTGACAGTTTGGTGAACATGAAAGTGAAGAAATGTTGCAACAGGCTAGTCCATTTTGCAGAAACCTCATTGCATCAATTCATAATGATACTCATTAGTCTGTATGGCCTTGGATGCTGGTATTCATGCTCCTAATGACATGATGGATAGTTTCCTGGGGATCTCCTCCCTGATCTGCATCAGGGCATCACTGAGTTCCCGACAGTCTGAGGTGGAACATGGCGGCTTTGGATGGACTAAAACATAATGTCCCAGAGATGTTGTTTTGGATGTAGGTTAGATGAGGCCAGGAACTGTCTGCATGCTCTCACTAGATGAGACCAGGAGGAAACCATGGGACGTCTCCATGCTAGCACAAGGCTAACACAGAGACACAGACAATCATTCACACTCACATTCACACCTACGGTCAGTGTAGGATTGCCTGTTAACATAACCCATGCATGTCTTTGGACCATGAGGAAAAAACTGAAGCACCTGAAGAGAAGAAAACATTCAAATTACGCACAGAAAGGTCACTGCACTACCATGCACTGCGATTATAAAAAATCGGGGTGTTTTAATGAGAAAAAATGCTGGTTAAAATCTGTTAGCCAAGTTAATTTCTCATATGCACGCTCAACTTACCTTTATTTAGTTTTTTTTGGGTTTTTAAAATCAAAATAAGAATATTTTGATCTCTATATCATTAAATCTGAATTTTCACTGTGTGGGCTTTTCTTGTAAAAGTGATGGCGAATTAATAAACAGATGTTTCAGTCCTTACTAATAATGTTTAGCAAGAAACAACTCAGCTGTCCAAATGATGAATCACAGTGTAATTCCCTTGTTTACTTTGCGCTGCTACCTCTTTTTGTGTATGTGTAAGTCAAGTGTGCAGTATCGTAACTGAACTCAAGCAAGTGTAAGCTGAGTCTTCTCTGAGTGAGCACAGGATTAAACCAAAAATGCTGCTCCCCTCTAAGATGGCCAAGCTCTTGACAACAGGACTCAGTCACATCCATGACAGCGACATAAATAACAGATTTAACAAGTGGCAGCTGAGGTAGCACACAGCGGGATTAGCCGGCCACAGCCACAACAGGATGGACGCGAACAGGCAACATAAGATCCTTTTTATGAGCCAGAACTCTATTCTGAGATGTGAGGAGAGCGATCATGTTCACGTTGGTGTTAACTGATGCCTAATTTTATATCTAACTGGTCAATCACTGCCTATTTTGCTTGCTCTGGCCGCCCACATTTCTCATTTTAACCAGAAAAGCTATTTCCTTTTTCTAATATTGCATCACTTTCATGAAATATTCATTGGTGTAATGCTTTTATGAAGCTTTAGTATTGAGTTAAACAATATTTCATTTATGGCATTTAATAATGACTGTGCATGTGTTGTACTGCTTTCTTTTTCCTTTGTTTTATTAGGGTGACAGAGGATCTCCAGGTCGTCCTGGACCCAATGGATTTCCAGGCTTACTGGTAACATTTATTCTATAAAACTGCTTGTGAGATGAGAGCATAAAAGACTTTCAATCTGTGAAAAAGTACATGTTTATGTACTGTATAATGTCATTTTGTTGTTTTATAATTCTTTAAAAAAAAATCACTGGGAGCACAACTTTTATCTTACTTTTACCATTTACTGTTTCCTTTCAATCCTTTGTATTGAGGTGAATCAGTGTGGCCCATGTCATCGCTGCTTGCCACAGTTCTCCGTCTACAGTCTGTGTTTCTTTATATTTTCATTATAAACTAACAGAAAGAAATATGAGTCCATCTTTTCTTGCTCATTTTCCCCTCCTATATCTTTACTTTACCGTGTGAGGTCGATCCTGTTTCTTCCTCTCTGTCTCAATCAGAGCTTGAAGCTGACTGTTAGGACGTAGTGCTGCTTTGCTCAAAGCTAAACCTGGCTTTTAAGGTTTAAGGTCAGAGGTGATCTGAAAGAGGAAAACGACCTTTCCCTGGACCGTGGGATCAATAGCATAGTCAATATTCCATTCCATTCCATTTCAATTCAATTCAGTTGTATTTATATAGCGCCAAATCACAGCAACAGTCGCCTCAATGTGCTTTATATTGTAAGTTAGACCCTACAATAATACATTCAGAGAAAAAACCCAACAATGATATGACCCCCTATGAGCAAGCACTTTGGCGACAGTGGGAAGGAAAAACTCCCTTTTAACAGGAAGAAACCTCCAGCAGAACCAGGCTCAGGGAGGGGCGGGGCCATCTGCTGCGACCGGTTGGGGTGAGAGAAGGAAGACAGGATAAAAGACAAGCTGTGGAAGAGAGACAGAGATTAATAACAAGTATGATTCAATACAGAGAGGTCTGTTAACACATGTTGAGTGAGAAAGATGACAGAAAAGAAAATGCTCAGTGCATCATGGGAATCCCCCAGCAGTCTACACCTATTGCAGCATAACTAAGGGAGGATTCAAGGTCACCTGATCCAGCCCTAACTATATACTTTACCAAAAAGGAAAGTTTGAAGCCTAATCTTAAAAGTAGAGATAGTGTCTGTCTGCCGAATCCAAACTGGAAGCTGGATTCTAGGAACAACAAGTAAGCCTGCAGTGCGAGAGCGAAGTGTTCTAATGGGGTGATATGGTACTGCCTTGGGTACCAGACATCCACTGTCATGCCATGCTTTAAAACAGAGAATTTCATAGATGCAGTGACGGGTAAAATGAAAAGCATTGATACGTAATTATCAACTGACAGACTTAAATTCTTTTTAGGCTTTATAGTTTTACTCAAAGCCACACATCGCTGCTGTTGTGTTTGAGTTTTTCTTGGCATGACCCCATGAACTCAATAGATTTATTCTGTTATAGTAGGTGGTCCTGCTCCTCACATGGCTGTATCTACAGGTAGCTTCTTGATGAAATTCTGAATCTGGTTTCCACATAGTTGGCCTTAACCTTGAATCCCAAGAGGCCACATCAGTGTTTGCAGTAGCTAAACTTAATACATCCAGCACACCCCCTGCGGCCCATCAGGTATTTTAAGAGGAAATGACTGGCCTACGCTCTTTAGCCCTGCATGGAACTTTTATTGGGCGTGAAGGTCATATGTCACAACCTCGGAAGTACATGACAGAGACATTGATACTGTTCAAGAAGCCCTCTTTCTTCCCCGAAAAAGACACTGACCTGGCCCTGACCTTGTGTTTTGTCGCTGTAAACATCTGTTGTTGATAATCACGTCAAAAGCAAAAATAAAGCGCTTAAGAGGAGAATAGCTCTGATTTACTCAACAATAAATCCTGTTTAGCTTACAAAGAAAACGTGCTTACTTAACTAAATGTGGGATTTTGCTGTAGCCCAGGGCTGGCTTTGGACCAGAGTCACTAAGCTGTTTCCACTTTAATCACTTTCTGCAGAATGAACATTTTTTTTGTGTTTTAATTGAATCACTTTGTTTTAAAACCACACAGAACTCAGAAATGTGCTGTGGATGTTTTTATAAACTGTCCTGATGTAAAATGGGACACCGACTTGTTAAAACTAGATGGCACAAACTGAAAGAAAACTGTTTAGAGCAAATTTCTCAAACAGAGATGTCACATGTAATAGATTTGTTATATATTGTTTCATCACATGTCCTTTGGCCAGTCCCAAAAAGTGTGCCTGCCCACAGACTTTCCCACAGAAACATGAAGCTCAAACCATTATTTTCACTGATACAAAACTGCATAATTTCTCATGTTTACACAGGACATGCAGGACGTGCATAAGGTTACCGACCCAAGTTGAAAGCATTATCTATGACTTGGGAAATTTTAAAGTAGTAACACAAAAACTGCCCACAGGAAATCCATCCCACTGTTTTTTTCTTTACTTCATTAAAGTGATTAACTACCCTTCTTTTTTCTAGTTTTACTGTTGGCTCTTCTTGTTTAGTGCACTGCTTGGGGTCTGTCCAGTGGGGTGGTTGGTTAAACTCTTTGAACCTGACACATAGATTCATGGTTTCCAAGTAGTTGAATCCTACTGAAGCTGGTAATCCCCTGACTTCATCCGCATGCTTTGTTTCAACACTCAACATGATATTTTGATTAGACTGACTGCTCTCTAATAGTTCACATTCAGCGTACATATTCTTAATTTAGCATTTAGTTTTTATGCCTTTTAATGCTGCTAGCAGGGCAGCTTAATTACTCTTAGTTACCAATTTTTCAGTTGAAATTTACTAAAAGTACTTGTTTCATTTTACTTTTTAAGGGTCCTAAAGGTTATCTGGGTCCACCTGGACCACCAGGAGAACAAGTAAGTAGTTATTTGTGTTCATGGTTTGTGTTACAGCCCAACAAAACTAAAATTGTTAAATTCAAGGTAGCTGGATTCCGGCTAGTACTTTGTCACAAAAATACAAATAGGAACTGGGTTGGTACACACATGCAAATGAACGAATGCAAAGATGAGTGTGTGACAAGCCAGTTATGGTAGTCCTTCAGCTGTCCCTTATAGTAGCTGGTTCTTTTTATGGCTCTTTTTATCCCTCTTAAAACTCTTCACTTTCTCAAACAACGACAATAACAAGAATGAGTCACATAACAGTGAACAATGAGCTGAAGTAAAAGCCAGAGTGAGATAGTGAGGGATGGGGTGTATTGGAGGGGTGCTGAAAGGTGCAGTTAGTAGACGGAGCTGTTGGGAATGAACAGTGCTTGTTTTATTCCTTAGCTGGCACTGCTACTAGAAGTCTGCGTTTCTCCCCTTTCACGTTATCCGTCCGCTAATCTCCCTATTCACCGTTCATTCTCTCTCTCTCCCTTTTCCTCTCTCGTCACTTTAGGGCATACCAGGACTTCCTGGCGAAGCTGGAGCTGCAGGTTACCCTGGCAGGCAGGTGCAGTGAAAAACACACAAAAATTGTTTCTCCATCAATCCTTGCAGATTCCTTTATTGCTCTATCGAGAACTTTACTAAGAGAACACAGCCACAATAATGTACACTAATTTCTGCTGACCTATGCACATCAGATGCTTTGTAGTCAACAAAGTCTCCCTGTTTTTCTTTGTAGGGCTCGGCCGGGCCACAAGGTAGCCCTGGCCCTAAAGGTGTTCGTGTAAGTATAAGGTGTTTTCTGCTATTTTTTTTTCCTTTAGTATTACTACATTGAACTCTTTCATTTCCTGAAAGGATTAGGACCAGAGTTTCAGGCTGGCTCCACAGTGACTGAAATGCCCCAAAATAGGAGAACAGAAGAAAGACAGTAGGTAGAAGAGGAACAGATGAAATCAGAAGGGGCCAAATGAGCTAGCTAGAGAATGGACTTAAGAGGAGCGTTGCGGTCCCAGGAAACAGGATAGCTAGGATCACAGTGTCTGACCGAAGCTGGCAGGGTGAGAAGGAGCCACAGAGGCAGACAATGTGCTGAAAAGAAAGATGTTTGAGCAATGAGAGAGGGTGGAAAGGGATGCAAAAAAAAAAAAGGATGACTCGGAAATACTGATTACGTTGTATGCTAACTGACATACAAACCTGAATGCAGCCAGTCTGAATTGTAGTACAAATACTGAGCAGCTTTAGGGTTTTTTGCTCGTATTTTGACAGTTTGGATGCAAAAATGAGGCTAAAACCAACTTTTTAATTTCTTATGGCTCCAACAGATTTGTTTTTGGTGTATGTTAGCTTGTAATGCAGGACCAATTATGATATGAGAACACTGTTCATGATTTAAAATCAGATTAAAGATCCTATTTGGGGTTTTTTTTTTTTTTTTTGTTATTGGTACAAAAATTTAATCGATCATTGGTCACAGATACTGATCCTGTTTGCATTTTTACTCACTGGAAAACTCCTTGAAATTACCTGTAACACTGATGAGGAATCTGTGCTCAGACTGTTCCTGAGCTACATTTACCTTGAACAAAGAAGAGTTTGGCCAGTGAAACCAGCTATTTCTCCCATGTTTCCCACAGGATGCATCAGGGCCACACATGTCTTTTAAAATCCAGAATTAAATTTTAAAAGGATAAAAAAAATCCTCTGACTGTGTCATCTATTTTTACCCAATTAGGTACTTTCATGTGGTGGCTCTGTACTCCAGACAAAGATGTTCAAGCTGCGACCGTCCTGATTGTTATGAACTGATTTCAGTGGCAAATCGTTTTTCCTGTGCTGCCATCAGCACAAAATAAGTTATTCATGTTAGCCAAGATGAGCGGACATGACCCACATCTGATGCAGAGTGCAAAAAGTCAGATGCAGGAAAAGGAAATCTAGTCAGTTTCCAAAATAAAAGACTATACGCAGCTCTGTTGCTGAAATATTATTAGTGCATTTGAAGGCATTCAAGAACAGTGCACCAGACAAGCTACTATTCTTCTGCTGTCGTTATTTCATAATGACAAGTTAATGTAAGCATTGTGCTGTGTTAATGCAGCACAGAATTTTTACTTTGTTGTGATGTTTTTCTCATTTTCAGGGTTTCATTGGGCCTCCGGGCGATGCTGGCCCACCCGGGCTGGAAGGGGAGAAAGTGAGTGATGTTTGTTCATTTCCAGTGTGCAATTTGTCAAAGTCTCTATAAACATGACACATTTCCCATCACAATTTTTTTATTTACCTCTAATAAATCTGTAAATATCTTATCTTTCACCTCCATTTATTTTCTGTTTATTCAAACTTTCCCCCCCATCATTAGGCTACAGAAAAAATATTTTCCATTTAGGCAGTCAGTAATTACTGAACACATTGCTTCATTCTTGAGAGGTCAAAATCTAAGAAATCCCGGTGTTTGTAGTTTTGTTGTGGCTTTTTCACATCAGCTTGTTTTATGCCAAGAGAACTTTATTCAACGTGATGAAATGCATTGTTAAATCCTCACCTAAAGTAGGCTGTATTGAGAACCTGTGCGACTTTAATGGATAATTTAAGCATCTTATTTTATGGGCTTATTTTGTTTTACGGATTGGGGAGGAGATTAGAAGAGCTGTGGTTGCTTAGGCTCATATCCTCTCTAATTCTCTTTCCAGTCATTTCAATTTCAATCCTAAACTTGCGTGAGAAATCTAACTGCTTGTTTTTCTTTTCTAGGGCATACCTGGACCTGCTGGAAGACCTGGCCCCAAAGGAAGACATGTAATAATGAATCCATTTTGGTTTTTGCCATACTTAACAGTTCCCTAAATCTATACTTTTGCCCATTACGTTGATGGTAAAAACTGCTGCTATCCAGCTCATCAGGTATACAGTATGCCAGTATAAAGCAGTACTGCATATCCACACAGACCCCAGAAGCATCCAAAAGAGGCACATTTGTATCCTGCTGCTGTGAATGTGCTAAAGCAGCAGGAGGCGGGTTTGATAGGACATCGAGAGAAAAGAACAAAGAGGACTATTACACATGTATGCATACATACAATACAGTGTTCAAGATATAGCAAATTACATGCATCTTGGCATATTGTCTGCAAGTTTGTTCCAGGGTGGCCTTGAATAAAGTTACACTCAGAGACAGATGGAATGTCTAGGTTGGGCCCGCACACTGTGAAAAGTTAATGTTTTAAAAACAAGCCTTCGCTTCTCTGTATTGAAGTTGCCAAGCGGGCAAAAAGCCCAGTGACTGTTTTATCAATTTTTTTTTTTTCTTGGAACAGTGATGTCTGGCTAATACGCCGGCTAATCTTGCCTCATTAAAAAATGTGCTTTTCCACATTATGTCCACGTGAAGTTAATCTTGAATAATTACTTTGGGAAATTGCACGTTAAATGCTACATGTAAAGTCAATTTTTAAAAAAAGTTTGCTATGCCACGCACGACAGAAAGCACAGAGCCGTTATGGAGAAAGCAGAAGAAAAAAACTACTTTTACCTCTGTGGAGGTGCTACTCTCTGCAGATTGAGGGTAAAGTTAAAAATGGTAGTCCTGACTTTCTTAAATTAATTGCGGATGTATTTGCCCCGTAGGGTGTCATGGGGGATGCTGGGGAGAGGGGGCCTCCTGGTCCAGATGGAAATGAGGTGAGAACTTGTGCCCGCTTTTTGTTCAGTATGTCCAATACTTCTGTCTTCATCCTTGAACTCTGGCTTCTTCTGTTTGTGCTGTCTCATTAGAGGCAGCACAGGTGGACAGTGTCTCATAATACTCAGCTGTAAAATGTACAGTTATATGCGTATGAATAATCCTAGCTTTACTGAGAGTTTTTTAGTTTTTTTTATCATCAGATGACATAAATATGCTTTGTTACTCCTGTATTGTTTTGAGAGTGAGACAAACGTACTTATGATGTTCCTCCACAGGGCCCTGTTGGTGGGGCTGGCATAAGTGGCTTTCCTGGTCTAAGGGTGAGTCTGTATTTTTTTTTTTTTTTTTTTTTTTTAGCAGCAACATGTTTTGTTTGATTTAGATTTGTGAGTCCGTTCTTAGACCTGTGACTCACAAGGCTCAGTTTTGTCAGTTTTATCTCAGGCCTATTGTGTCTTATTCCACTTGTCTTAGTGCTTAGATTGGGATTGGCTCATGAGCCTCACGACTGACAGTAGTTAGGAATTTTCACGTCGCAAGCTAATTCTTGGTTAGATTCCCTGTATCGTTTAATACGGGTTTTGTTTTCCTGATGGCAGTAGTGTCTTTTCTGTTGTTCTCTTCCATTGTACGTCAAGATATGTGGAGCTGAGGTGACCTGAATGCAAGGCACAAAAACAATGTAATGAAATAAGATAACATGCCTTTATTTAGGCAGGTATAAAAAGTCCCAAAGTTTAAAAAGTAAATAAAGGACCTACAGAGAAATCGGAGATGCACATCAAGGAAAATGAACGGACGTCTTGAGGCAAGTTTACAAATACTCTCAGAAGTGCCCGGGGAAGACAGATGGGTGTGGACACAGGTGATGATATCTACCAATAGGTGACAACTAGACAAGGTAAGACAGGAAATAAAAGCAACACAAGGGAATAAAGGCTGACTTTCAAAGTAAAATAGGAAAAACATGTAAGCAAGAAGACTTCACCCTAACTAAATCAGAGGCAGAAGAGACTTAGGGAGGAATGAGCAGAAAACCACTGAGGGGAATAAAGGCACTCTGATAAACTCAAAACAGAGGCCGAAACCCAAGAAAACACCATTCAAAACTACAACAATACAGGCCCACTGTAATACAATGAAATCAGGAATAGGAACTCAATAATTTCAAACTAGGATTATTCACAGAACCAGGACTGAAGCTTTAAAGCTAGAGAAACCCAGAGAACCCAGAGACACTGTAAATCTACCTCAACTATGGAGGTCATCTGATTGGTTCATTTGATTTATTTGTTTGTCCGCTACCTCAAAGAGGTATTGACATATTTGCATACAAAGTGCACCAGAGGTGGGGCTTGGCCCAATTCAAAAGGTGATTAACTTCTGGAGATGATAAGGATCTGGATCCAGGAATCTTTGGAAGGATGTTTTACTTTTCTGAGCTCTTCTACATCCAGAAAGTTAATTCATGCCTGATGTGGAGGAAATTTTCAGCTTTGGTGTCTCGTCCTCCTCTTGTTGTGTTTAGTAGAGGCCAGGTGACTGTCAGTGGGTTTCTTTTTGTTTATGCATGTTCATGCTTTAACCACTGGTAAGGCCATAAGTAAGGGACTCGTATAAATAGGATGTGAATGTGATGAGATTCACAAGTCAACATGGGCTTACATGTTAAAGAGAGCCAGACATTGGAAACCTTAGTGAAAGCGAAACTTGCCACATGCAGACAGGGTGTAGAGAATAAAGAGAATATATAGCTGCCTGCTTTGTTTTGTTTTTTTGGGTTTTTTTTTTTAGTCTAATGTCAGGTTGAGTGTAGAGTACTGGAGCTGAGCTTGTTGTTTGCTGTTAAAGGGTAAAGTGAGTTACAATAAAGAGGTTAAAATACATTTAAATTAAGGAAAGACCATCAGAGGCCTAAAAGAGAACAAGCTTTTTTTCCATTACTGCAGAATGCAGTATCGTGTGTCTATAGTTACTTCCAGATGTTCACGTCAGCCACCCTGATCCAACTGTATACAGCACCTGTCCCGTGCTTTCAAGTGTCGTTTACACTGGTTTGTGTTCCTCGTATCTTTGAATTTATTGGGGATTTTTGAGGGGTCACTGAGTGGCGCTAGACACAGCTGGAGGAATGATTTCTCAGCATTCACCTCAGCTACTGGCTGTAAGTCACTGATCCTACTGAAACAGCCAGACAGGAAGTATGCACACACCATCTTCAAGTGTTTTGGTTAAAAAAAAAAACAAAAACCCAAACCTAATATCATGCAGAATTTTACATGTGCTATGCAAAAGTAAATAGTTGCTTTTGATTATATCAGTTCTGCTAGCCATGGCACTTGCTGTGTTTAACTGATGACAGGTCTCATTCAGAAACGGCAGACCACTTGGTGTAAAAAGAAAAGGATGTGACACTGATTTACACACTTGTATGTGTGTGAATGGGCTTTCCTTTCCTTTCCTTCCCTGTGCCTATTTAAAATTAGCTCAAAAAGTAAGGAAATTTGTGTTTTGTTGATTATTCCTTTGTTGCCAACAATGCTTCTTGGCAAGATATAAGGGAAATAAACGCTTTAATACTTTCAGGTTGTGTTGTCCGGAGCAATGTCAAACGCTACTACTCAAATGAAGTCAGTGATAAGATAGTTTTTTGCAATTTATATACTTTTACTCAAATGCAAAAAAGGAGAAGGTAACTGACTTATTAATAATTAAAGCTGATGCAGTTCTCAGACAAGTTATGGCCAGTAAGTACTTTTGAGTAATCATACTAGAGAGCCCAAATCCCCGCACCTCTTTAATCCAGCCTTTGATGTAATAAATCATATTCACTCAACTTTCCAGCTGGGTGATTTTGACGCTGTATGAATCTCGCAAAGAACTTTAATTTGACATCTAAAACTCATTTTCACGTCTCACTGTCAGTCACACCGTTGAGGCTCTCGTTGTGCTCACTCATTTATTTAAAAGCCTATTGCACATGGTTAGAACCTTTACTCGAGTAATCGCAGAGAGAACATAAACAGCAAGTGTTCCTTCTGGTATGCACTTGATGTCTCTGCCAGTGTGTGACTCGGCAAAATGTGATGCAGCCCGACACTTTTTCATAGCCTGAAAGAAAAACAGTAGGGCGAGATGGAGACCAGAGTAGTTGTAATAATACCCTTGTTTTTTCTCTTTACAATTCTTCCACCATGTTTTTTGTTGTTGTTTTTATATACAGTGGGGCAAAAAAGTATTTAGTCAGCCACCGATTGTGCAAGTTCCCCCACCTAAAATGATGACAGAGGTCAGTAATTTGCCCCAGAGGTACACTTCAACTGTGAGAGACAGAATGTGAAAAAAAAATCCATGAATCCACATGGTAGGATTTGTAAAGAATTTATTCGTAAATCAGGGTGGAAAATAAGTATTTGGTCAATAACAAAAATACAACTCAATACTTTGTAACATAACCTTTGTTGGCAATAACAGAGGTCAAACGTTTACTATAGGTCTTTACCAGGTTTGCACACACAGTAGCTGGTATTTTGGCCCATTCCTCATGCAGATCTTCTCGAGAGCAGTGATGTTTTGGGGCTGTCGCCGAGCAACACGGACTTTCAACTCCCGCCACAGATTTTCTATGGGGTTGAGGTCTGGAGACTGGCCAGGCCACTCCAGGACTTTCAAATGCTTCTTACGGAGCCACTCCTTTGTTGCCCGGGCGGTGTGTTTTGGATCATTGTCATGTTGGAAGACCCAGCCTCGTTTCATCTTCAAAGTTCTCACTGATGGAAGGAGGTTTTGGCTCAAAATCTCACGATACATGGCCCCATTCATTCTGTCCTTAACACGGATCAGTCGTCCTGTCCCCTTGGCAGAAAAACAGCCCCATAGCATGATGTTTCCACCCCCATGCTTCACAGTAGGTATGGTGTTCTTGGGATGCAACTCAGTATTCTTCTTCCGCCAAACACGATGAGTTGAGTTTATACCAAAAAGTTCTACTTTGGTTTCATCTGACCACATGACATTCTCCCAATCCTCTGCTGTATCATCCATGTGCTCTCTGGCAAACTTCAGACGGGCCTGGACATGCACTGGCTTCAGCAGCGGAACACGTCTGGCACTGCGGGATTTGATTCCCTGCCGTTGTAGTGTGTTACTGATGGTGACCTTTGTTACTTTGGTCCCGGCTCTCTGCAGGTCATTCACCAGGTCCCCCCGTGTGGTCCTGGGATCTTTGCTCACCGTTCTCATGATCATTTTGACCCCACGGGATGAGATCTTGCGTGGAGCCCCAGATCGAGGGAGATTATCAGTGGTCTTGTATGTCTTCCATTTTCTGATGATTGCTCCCACAGTTGATTTCTTCACACCAAGCTGCTTGCCTATTGTAGATTCACTCTTCCCAGTCTGGTGCAGGTCTACAATACTTTTCCTGGTGTCCTTCGAAAGCTCTTTGGTCTTGGCCATGGCGGAGTTTGGAGTCTGACTGTTTGAGGCTGTGGACAGGTGTCTTTTATACAGATGATGAGTTCAAACAGGTGCCATTCATACAGGTAACGAGTGGGGGACAGACAAGCTTCTTACAGAAGACGTTACAGGTCTGTGAGAGCCAGAGATTTTCCATGTTTGAGGTGACCAAATACTTATTTTCCACCCTGATTTACGAATAAATTCTTTACAAATCCTACCATGTGAATTCATGGATTTTTTTTTCACATTCTGTCTCTCACAGTTGAAGTGTACCTCTGGTGCAAATTACTGACCTCTGTCATCATTTTAAGTGGGGAAACTTGCACAATCAGTGGCTGACTAAATACTTTTTTGCCCCACTGTACTACCTGCATTTTTTTTTTAGGAATGGCTCTATTTACACTCAAAGTACTTGTGAATGTGTCCATGAAGGTAGCAATCATGATATTGAAGACAGACAGGAAATGATGGGCATTGCAGTTCAGTAGTTTGCACCAAAGTCATTTAGCTATACTGGACTGTGACTGTGTCAGGAACTAGATTAACTTTCTAGATTTATACCTTCTCATCTATTCTTCTGAAGTTACTTTGAAGTTAGAGTGAAATTAGCTATTGGTATATGTCTTATTGCAGTAGCAAGGAATAACAGCTGTCTACACATAAACTACATGGTGAAAAAAGGGACACCTACACGTTACACCTACAGGAGATACTTAATCGCTTTAACGGCATAAGCACATAAGCTACCAGAGGAGGCCCAACCCTTTTTTTGGTATGTAGCCAATCAGATTTGGTGTGTGGCTAACAGAGGTACATGCTGTTTGTGGCCAAGTCTAAATTAAAATGCACTAAATCTTGTCTGGGTCTGAATTGGAGGCATTTGAAGTGGCGCGCTTAAATGGGATTATGATGTCCTGGGTGTAGAAACATTTCTATGTCTAATTGGATTTTCTGAGGCTACAACGGTTGTGTTGAAACATGATGTACAGGAATGCAGCAATCTGGATTTGATCGAGCCTCGAACCAATTGTCTTCCCCACGTGGCGAGCAGATAGCGGTTTGGATGACGTTTAACCACCTGGCAGACAGGCTTCATCTTGACAGCAGTTTGAGGAAAGGCTCTGTGTGGGATGTTGATGTACCCTGTTGTTTCAGCTCGGCCAGTGGACTCTGGAGTTTTTGGGTGGGGGCAATGGGGGAACATTTTCTATCTGTGCTTTCCCCCTTCTTTCAGTGCATCATTTTTCATGTGTCCACTGTTAAAAGCCTCTTTTGATGGAAGGCATGTGATTTGTGTGTGTCCTCCTGCGATACCACAGCGGAGCCTCAGCATCAAACACTGACCTTAAGGGGTCCAGATGGACTTATAGTTTAAGCCACATGTCTTTGATGATGCAACATAGACAGTATTCTGTACTACTTATTACTGATTTTGTGCATATTGGTCAGACCGACACATTGATTGTTTTTAGTGGTTGGTTCTTTAATTCTTTTAGGTTTGTTTTTCAGTAACATTATTGCTCTCAGGCCTTTTCTGCAGACGAGTGGTGCAAAATTCTGGATTTTATTTTGGTTTTGTATCCATCTGTATTCACTATACTTTTGTTGGTTGCATCAGACATTGCTGCTACCGAGCAAATATGGTATTGCTTCCACTATCTTTAGGCATAGAGGGGGAAAAACCCCAGAGTAACTTGTAACTGCTGTGTCTGTGGGAATAGTATAGCACGTATGCTCTCACACATACTTGTGCATATACAAATTGTTGTCATCACATCAGTGCTTCTGACTATTACTGCAGACAGGGTGAAAGCTACCTGAGCAGCCTGTCTGCTGTTTGGTCCAGCCACACTTTCTGGCCAGTCTCCCCTCACCTCTGTCAATTAGAGTGGATTGACTGTTGGGGCCTGGCAACCCAAACCGCTGCAAAACAACTGGATACTCTGCCAACACTGCTTATGTTTCTCATAGGGTTGTGGCAAACAGGAATGTGCTGCATGTCAATACAATGTCAACAATGGATCAGAAATATTTTGTGCAAAACTGCCATTCACTATCAAACAACAATGGACTCATATTACAAGTACTACGTGTGTGTATTTGTGATACATATTTGTGATTAGGGATGGGTATCGTTTAGGTTTTATCCGATACCGGTGCCAAATCGGTACTTTTGAAACTGTGCTGGTGCTCAAACGGTGCTCAAACCGGTGCTTAAAGAATGGAGAACACAAAATTGGTCCAAAAACCTCTCATGTTCAGCTGTTTTTTGTAAAAATATAACAATGTTAGCCTTTTCTGCAGCTATGGGGCATATATGGTATCACTCTTGGCTGGAAGCAGTGCTTAAACAATGGAAAAAACACAAACTTTGTCCTAAACCTCTCATGTTTAACTGTTTTCCACTTTTTCTTTGGTCATTTTAGCCTTTTTAGCCAGGGTGAAGGGAGTATCTGCCATCAAACAAGAGGACATCCGCATGTAGCTATGATGATGTTTGCTAGTTCACCTTACATGCATTAATGTAATAACGTGGTTAGCCTACTCAACGTAAATTAGCTACTCACGCAGAGAAGAACGGCTGCTGCTGCCACCATCATCCGTCATCATTTCTGCTACACTGGCAGGGCTAGGGGCCAGGACTCTCCTCTTCGTGTTTTTGGGGGATGTTGCATAACAGGCAACCCACCCGCAGTAGATGCGCTCGGTGTGAGGTCTCGCAGCAAGCTATCAAATACGGCACATTTCTGGGCTTTAAAAAAAAAGGCTATGCGTCGCCAGGTGTTTCATCGGATTTGAGGTGTTACCTCCTTTGACAGTATCAGCTTAAAGCACTTGTTGCAGGCTGCTGAGTTTGCATATTTTGCTGTGAAGTACAGCCAGACTTTTGACCGCTTCGTCTTGGACATTTTTAATCTGTAGCTCTGCTCTAACAGAACGTACGTACCTGGCCCCGCCTACTATCCTCGGAAACGTAAAATGATTGGCTAGAATCTAAAGTGTATCACAGCTCAGGAAAAAAAAGCACCGAAATAAAGCACCGAAATGTGCGCTGCTTTTCGGTCTGGTTACTACCGTTTATGTCAGAACCGGACACCGGTACCCATCCCTATTTGTGATACATAAATTCCACTGTGTCCTTCTCTTCGCAGGGAGACCCAGGGCCCGAGGGACCACGAGGACTGCCTGGTATGGTGGGACCTCAGGTGGGCCTGATATTTGCTTCTACCATTTTTTTACATCTTAGGAGAATCCTAAGTGATTGAATGTTAAACTTTTCCTTCCCTTTGTTCCGCTCCCTCTGCGACAGGGCCCAACAGGACGAGCCGGCCTGCCTGGATTGAAAGGTGATAAGGTGATCTAAATATTTATATTATTGCAGTGCATCTGTGTGTAATGTGTGACTTGGACGTACTATATAAGATCCTTGTGACATTTTGCTAACACATCCAGCAAACTCAGTCCTATGTATTAGTGTTTAATCATTTTTTCATGTTAAACGCTGATATTGCTCCAGTGGTTCTTTACAGACTCTTCATTTGCTTTCACGACATTGAACTCAACCTATCAAACTAAATTTTGATAGTGCTGGTGCATTAAACAGCCTCTGTATAGTGTGTGCCGTTTTTTTGTTTGTGGTTTCTTCAGATTATTGCGGCAGTGCAGTGTTGTGTTATATCTCTGTTTGATACTATGAAATCTAGGGTGAAACCGGACAAAGGGGCGAGCCAGGAGAGATGGGGTACCAGGGGGATAAGGTAAGCGTCCTTACAAAGCATAGCACGCCATGTGACCATGCAATGTGTGTATCTGCTGTTACCAATAGGTTCTACCTGTGTTTGCTCCATTACGGTACATAGAGATTGATTAAAAAACAAGAAAAGTCAACCACAGACTTTGTGAAATCAACTCAAAAATGGTGTGTGTTTGTCTTTCAGGGTGCTGCTGGTGCACCTGGTCTTCCTGGGCCCAGAGGGAAACCAGGGCCACCGGTATGTCTGTGTGAGTGTGTCTGAGTGGGCAAAGTTACTCATGCTTGGAACATGTATTTGCATGTTCGTGGATGTTTTGCCATGCTTTTTGGATTCAGTTTATTTAGTCATACTCAGAAAACATTACCTTTATCTTAGATTTTCTGGGAGGGGAGATTCAGTGATAGGAGATAAATGTGAAATTAATGTCTTTAAACAGCTCTGGGTTTGCTTATCAGCACAAGCAACCATTAGAGCAAATTAATCTCTTTTAAGTTAAAACATTACAAATTCCCTGCAGGATGATATCTAAACAAGTCACGTAATGAGAATAATGACATTGTTAGCCCAGTGTAAAGAGGAAAGAAAAGACAAAAAGCTAACATGTAGTTAGCAGTCTACATGATTAAAGGGTTTTTGCTATTTCCTGTCATATGTATACTGTTACAGTGCTGGATAATTATATTAAACACAGCCAGTGCTAAATAAAGCGGTTAGCATGTGTAAACGTAATCCCTTTGGCTCAATCTTTGGTTTCAGGTGGGTTTTTTCAGCTCTTGTCTCTTGCCAGCCAATCAGAGATAAGTTGTGGTTTCAGCAAACTGCTGCATCTTTGACTTACTAAGAACTGTTACTGAAGCGCTTAGAGCGATTATTCCACACCAAACCCAGACTGGTGCCCAGCTGTCTGTAATATTAGTGTGTTAACATAATGGCAGGAAAGTTGCACAAGTTAAACGGCTATCTGTAGTGAATCAAAGCAAAGAAACAAACATTTAAAATGGAGTGACAGAAACTGCTTGGAAAATCTTTTGTCAACCACAGATTAGCAAATATGAAGTAACATTATTAGTCTTTATTGGCTAATTTTTTACTTTTTACTTTCTTTTTTTATACCCTGTCCTGTCTGACAGTTATAGCAAGCAGAATCATGATCTGAGTGCTTTAGACTCTCTGTAGGATCCCCTTGGTGATCTAACATTTGAATACATCATCAAAGTGGTGTCAGTGACTTATTTCGGGATTATATCCGCACAACACAAGAGGAGCAAATTGTTCATGTCTTTCTTCTCTTTTTGTCAGGGTAAAATTGGAGAAATGGGTGTGACTGGATCACCTGGGCCTCCAGGACCAGAGGTAAGGCATACATGGTTGTGCATTTTTTCATCACAATTTTCTGACAGATACTTACCAATGCATATTAACAAATATATTTCCTCATATGTGGAGTCCCCCAGCACTTAATCTTGGACCAATTTTGTTTTCTTTATACATGTTTCTTAATAGTTTCAAAGGAATCTCTTACCATTGCTATACAGATGGCACACAGTTGTACATTTCTGTTAAGCCCTAAAACCTTAACAGCATCTCCCGTCTCAGTGAATGCTTCTCTGCCATTTCTAAGTGGATGTATTCAAATTTCGTTCATCTCAATCCTGGTAAAACAGGTTCTTGACAGTTTCTCTAAGGAGATCAGTCAGCAACGTTAGAAATCTGCATCTTTGCACATCTTTGAACGACGTCTGAGTTTTGCATCTTGCATCTCAAATCTCATCCAGTCATGTTTCTTTCATTTAAGAAATGTTGCAAAAATCAAAGACTCATTCTTTTATCTGGAGCTTTTAATATACACTTTAATTTTCTCCCACCTATTACTGTCAGTCACTTGCATCTCTCAGTCCTCCATAGCTCCTCTCCAGATGGTGCAGAACATAGCTTTTGTTAGCAGCCTTGCTGCTATCTGACGCTCACCAATCACAGCTATTATTGCTTCCGTTTGCTGGGTCCAAGTGACATTCAGAATCCACCTTAACATCAAATTATTAACATATAAAGCTCTACATTGACTGGCTCTTGCTTATATCAGAGCGACTGACTTCTTATTTTTACAGGTTAGTTTTCCATTCATATTTTCCCATTTATGTATCTGTATGTTGGCACATGTATACTTATGGTTAGCTTTTATTCAAACTGTGACACACTTAGTAACTCTGTGTTTTGAAAATTATTGTACAAATAAATTATTATTATTAATATTTGTTGCGCTTGCATGAAATAAAGGGGAGTCAGAGGCAGCTACTGTTAAAAACATGATCTTCACTGAGGCCAGTATTCAGCAGTCCAGTATAAAGTATGAGAAGGTCAGAGTAAAATGTTTCAGCTTTTGTCTTCTTAAAATATTGACTGTAGCATTTCTTTTTTTCTTTTTTTTTTGCTGTATTTTGGCTCAGTGGAGTATGCTGACTAAAGTAAAGACAGATTGAGGTACAGCTACTTTCCTAATAGAGTGTGTAATGCAATGGACACGTTGCCAAGAGAGTGCTTCTTTTATGGCTGCTCCAAGTCAAACTTATGATAATGCAAAGACAAAGACAGCATAGGGGGATAAGGTAGCAGGTAGCAGATATAGGATTTAAGCTAAATCCATGTGGCTGTAAAATAAGTATTTTCATTCACGGTGCATATACTGCAAATGCTGGCTCACCTTAGATTCGAAGGGATTGTTATGGTTGTTATTCCGTTTGCTTTCACACCAAATTATCTACCAATTTAGAAGATAATGAACAGCTTAATATAAATCTTAAAACAGAAACGGAGGACTTCACAGAGTCTTATACTGCTGAGTGTGTCTGTGTGGGCAAAGTCGCTCATATTAGGTACATGTATTTGCATGTTTTGTCATTCTTTTGTTCCTTTTTTGGGCTGAGTTTATTTATTCATACTCAGAAAACATTATCTTTGTCATTCATAATCCCTGTAATTGCTAAAAATTGTAATTTGATGTTGATTTGAATTATTAAAATTAGCTATAGATGCTCTGACAAATAGAGACTGAATTGGTTTTTTTGTCATGGAAGAGGCAAGTAATTATTTTACATTCTTTAATTTTTTAAGTCAATAATCGACTTGCTTTGCTTAAAACGTTGTTGTTGGGGTTTTTCGTGATAACTGTATTAGTAGTAGTTCCATTAAAAGCTTAAAAACAAGCGTTTTACTAGAGAGAAAGAGCAGCAGCGTGGGATTGTTGTTGGAGCTTTTCGCAGGCATCAACTCATCTGACTACAGTTTGTGGTTAAATTAAAAACTCCTGAATACGTACTTGGAAAATCTTCTCTATGCTATGCTAGCTCTCCCACTAGCAACAACATAGCACTGAACTGAATGTAGCACATTATCTTGCTAGCCACAAGCGTTTCTAAGTCAAAACTATTACATTTCCACAATGTTAATATGTCCTTAAAATTTTCCTGCTCTGTCATGGTCTGCCAGCACTCTGTCTTTAGGTGTTATGCAGAATATCTCACCTTCTGTTAAAGTGTTTGTTAATACTGCACAGTATGTGAAACACATCGACAATGTCAAAGTCAAGCTGCCCAGAATTGCTACGTCATCAAAGGTCACAAAGGCTGCAGCTCGCAAGCACATTTTATGAGATGAGTGATTGTGTCATGGCAGGCTTGCCTGAGGGAGAACATTAGCTCAGCAGCAATCCATCATTATTTTTATACAGTTCTGTCTTATACAGGTTAATGCAGAGGAATCAAAACATTTGGCTTAATAATAATGTTCTATAACAATATTCGTTCTCTCCTGAATTTGCAAGGGGTTTCCTGGGGACATTGGAGCGCCGGGCCCAAACGGACCACCTGGTCCAAAGGTACAACGGCATCTCTTTTTCCACTCTCTCGATCCATCCACTCATTCATTAATTTCATCCAGTCATACATTCACCTGTGTTTCAGGGTTTGCAGGGTGAGAGAGGACCCCAGGGTCCGCCAGGGCCTAAAGGAATACAGGTGAGACAATTTGACACCTAACTTATCTTTCCAGGTTCTCAATTCACTCAGAGAAGAGAAGTGGAAACTATAGCTCACTGAGGAATTTCCATTTGATCAGGCAAGATGAATTAGCACACTCCCTCTCATTTAACATCTATTCATATTTCACAGGTATAGCTCAGATCTTAGTTTTTTTCCCCCTGCTATATCTCTCAGGGCATGTTCCACCAGGTGAAGTCATGATTCACCAACAGGTGCTTATGAAAACAAGGCTGAAATGTTTTCCAGCCCTGTAAATAGCAACATAATCCACTGGAAAGTGTAGAGCAACACACAGTTTTCTATTGTGCTTAATGTTGGAATATTGATCTGGCCTCCATACACAACGGTGTAGAGTTGGCTAATGTATTCTTCTGTCACACACGGCAGAGTACGCAGACAAAGGTTGTTACTGGTGGTGGTCAGAGGGCCCGGTGGCGCCTGTGTCCGGCAGCCTCGCCTCTGTCAGTGCGCCCCAGGGCAGCTGTGGCTACAATGTAGCTTGCTATCGCCAGTGTGTGAATGTGTGTGTGAATGGGTGGATGACTGAATGTAGTGTAAAGCGCTTTGGGGTCCTATGGACTAGAAAAGCGCTATACAAATGCAGGCCATTTACCCAAAACAATGATGTTGAGAAATAACAAGATATATACATTTTTTCTCTTTATTTGAGTAAAATTTAAACCTTTTCATATCCAGTTTGCAAGACCTTGTAAGAAACTAAGATGGACACTTTATTAGGTACACCTGTTCAGCCTCTCATTGAAGTAAATATCTAATTAGCATGCCACACAATGCTTTTAGAAATGTAGGCACAGTAAAAACAAAAAACCACTGAAGCTCAAACTGAGCATCAGAATGAGGGAGAAGAGTGGGTTAAGGCCAGATGAGCTGGTCTAAGTATTTCGGAAACTGCTGGGATTTTACACACTATGGTTTGTAAGAAAGAAAAAAGAAATCTAGTGAGCGGTGGTTCTCCTGCTGACATCAGACAACTGCAGAATCATCAGATTTTCTGTAGGTGGTATGACCGGGAGTTTTGCTGAAAGTCTGAGGTGTACAGAGTAAACAGGAATTAAGTAAGCACAGCCCCCTGTGGAGCTCCTGTACTGTAGACAAGGGAATGTGCCGACATCACCAATTCAGACAGAATTGCCTTCATCTGTTAGCGATAATGGATGCTCAGAGGGGAAATGTTGCATGCAACAAAAAAACATGGGTAGGAGTAACACGGTGCTACAAGATGACCCCAGAGTTGCTGGCACAATGCTACAGTGGAAATCACTGCACAGGGACGTTTGATCATTAATAAGGGTTTTCCACTTTTTAAAGGTTTGATGGCTCACTTTTGATTGAACCTATGCTTAAAAAATGACTATTAGTCATTAATCATGATAATAATAATGTTAATAATTAATAAAAAGAAGCCCTGAACCATCATGGAGCTGAAATCATTTACCACTAAGAATGGAAAAAAAATCTCCAATTGTTATCCTTGCACATGCTTTCTAAATTTTGTTAAAAGAAGAAGTGATACATCAGTGTGCTAAACTTCCTGGTATTATGTAATATAATAAAAATATAAGTTCTAACATCTGTTTGTGAAGAGACATAAATGCTTTATACAATTTTCAAATCAGTGTAACACGTTTTTATTTACAGCTTTTCAGAAACATGCCTTTGGAAACTTTTGATTGAACAAACTTTGTTTCTGCAGGGCGACGAAGGACCACTCGGCCCACCCGGCGGGCCAGGCCCTACTGTAAGAACTCCCAAATTCATACACTGAATTTGCACTCAGCCGCACACGTACAGTGGGGCAAAAAAGTATTTAGTCAGCCACCGATTGTGCAAGTTCCCCCACTTAAAATGATGACAGAGGTCAGTAATTTGCACCAGAGGTACACTTCAACTGTGAGAGACAGAATGTGAAAAAAAAATCCATGAATTCACATGGTAGGATTTGTAAAGAATTTATTCGTAAATCAGGGTGGAAAATAAGTATTTGGTCACCTCAAACAAGGAAAATCTCTGGCTCTCACAGACCTGTAACGTCTTCTGTAAGAAGCTTTTCTGTCCCCCACTCGTTACCTGTATGAATGGCACCTGTTTGAACTCATCTGTATAAAAGACACCTGTCCACAGCCTCAAACAGTCAGACTCCAAACTCCGCCATGGCCAAGACCAAAGAGCTTTCGAAGGACACCAGGAAAAGTATTGTAGACCTGCACCAGACTGGGAAGAGTGAATCTACAATAGGCAAGCAGCTTGGTGTGAAGAAATCAACTGTGGGAGCAATCATCAGAAAATGGAAGACATACAAGACCACTGATAATCTCCCTCGATCTGGGGCTCCACGCAAGATCTCATCCCGTGGGGTCAAAATGATCATGAGAACGGTGAGCAAAGATCCCAGGACCACACGGGGGGACCTGGTGAATGACCTGCAGAGAGCCGGGACCAAAGTAACAAAGGTCACCATCAGTAACACACTACAACGGCAGGGAATCAAATCCCGCAGTGCCAGACGTGTTCCGCTGCTGAAGCCAGTGCATGTCCAGGCCCGTCTGAAGTTTGCCAGAGAGCACATGGATGATACAGCAGAGGATTGGGAGAATGTCATGTGGTCAGATGAAACCAAAGTAGAACTTTTTGGTATAAACTCAACTCGTCGTGTTTGGACGAAGAAGAATACTGAGTTGCATCCCAAGAACACCATACCTACTGTGAAGCATGGGGGTGGAAACATCATGCTATGGGGCTGTTTTTCTGCCAAGGGGACAGGACGACTGATCCGTGTTAAGGACAGAATGAATGGGGCCATGTATCGTGAGATTTTGAGCCAAAACCTCCTTCCATCAGTGAGAACGTTGAAGATGAAACGAGGCTGGGTCTTCCAACATGACAATGATCCAAAACACACTGCCCGGGCAACAAAGGAGTGGCTCCGTAAGAAGCATTTGAAAGTCCTGGAGTGGCCTAGCCAGTCTCCAGACCTCAACCCCATAGAAAATCTGTGGCGGGAGTTGAAAGTCCGTGTTGCTCGGCGACAGCCCCAAAACATCACTGCTCTCGAGAAGATCTGCATGGAGGAATGGGCCAAAATACCAGCTACTGTGTGTGCAAACCTGGTAAAGACCTATAGTAAACGTTTGACCTCTGTTATTGCCAACAAAGGTTATGTTACAAAGTATTGAGTTGTATTTTTGTTATTGACCAAATACTTATTTGCCACCCTGATTTACGAATAAATTCTTTACAAATCCTACCATGTGGATTCATGGATTTTTTTTCACATTCTGTCTCTCACAGTTGAAGTGTACCTCTGGTGCAAATTACTGACCTCTGTCATCATTTTATGTGGGGGAACTTGCACAATCGGTGGCTGACTAAATACTTTTTTGCTCCACTGTAACTCATGCTAAGCCTTTTGTAGGTGGTTCATAAGGATGAATCACCTCCGACTGGATGGAATAAAATAAGCTTTGCCATCATTCGATCAGCATTTATACTTACGTTCACGTGTATGTGTCTGTCGACCTTTAGGGGAGACCTGGAAGGAAAGGCCACATCGGTGAACCTGGCTCCGAGGGTTTACAGGTGAGATCCCATCACTTAATCACCGTATACGTAAGTGCATGTTTGTGGCAATTTCAAATGCCACATGACATCATCATCTCACTGAAAAATCGTAAGTGTTGTAAAAATGGCGTTACATTGTAATATAGTCAACTGTAGACTTTTTCCCTACTCTTTTATTTTTTTATTGGCTGTAATGTGGTATAATAAATTTAGTATTATGTACATCAAGATTTTATTGGTCTCATGCTTTCCTCCCCTTGCGAGGTGCTTATTGCCTAGACTTATAATGCTGTAAACATGCCCTTAATTATGAGAGAGCTGCAGTTTATTCTGGAGTTTGTTTTTCTCCAAAAAAACATCATCATACATGATGGCAATCATACATGTAGTCCCATGGTCTATGTGTGTGATCTTTTTTGTACTTGTAATATCCTGTGAGAACCAAATCAGTGATCTGTTTAACTACAGGAAGCTAACCAGCACATTGTCTGATGTTTACTGCTTGCAGGGAGAGAAAGGGGACATGGGAAATATTGGAAAAGTTGGACCACAAGTAAGTTTCTTTCACACCTCTAATGACATTAGCTAACAGACGGTGTACTGTGGATTAGTAGTTTTCCATTGGATCCCTTTATAGAGAGTGCAGGGCTGTGGTATAGCTTTTATTAGATTTATACTGATGAAGTGCTTCCAGTAAATTAACTGTTCTCTGTGGCAACTGTGGAAGTGGTTACAGGAACACATTCTCATGCATCACTATTTTACTGACCTACTTTTGAGGCTAAGAAATTTTGGATCTCTCTTCTTGCGATCCAAATACCGTACTGTTTTTAAATCAGAATTGGTGGAACTTCTCAGTAGAACCGATATCCTCTGTGGAAGTGATCTCATTTGTGTTGTCCATTTTTTTTATGGCTCAAAGCCTGTAAAAGCCTTTTTGACACGCTGTTGTGCATGAATCATACTTACAGAGAAATTGTTAACACAGAAATGTTGGACTGTTTATCGATTACCCAAAAACATCTGTGTCAGGACTGGTTGTAAAGAAATCAACTAACTGCAAAAATCACACTTTCGTGCGTCTGTCTTTGGGTTTTATACTTGACACAGATACTGTAGAGAAATGCCGGGACATAATTGTAAGATTCTCGTACGCACGCAACTGTTCTGACCATTCAAAGTATGCTGGTCTTTCCCAGAGGCCCCTTAATGCTAATATTTGCATTCTGTGCATAGTGGAGGCAACCAAGTGGGACTGCTGGACTTTGTTGCAGCACTGCACATATGAGAGCAGTTACTGAGTAGAAGGGCCTTTGAAGCCAAACAGGAACCATGGGGCTCTGCAGAGTGGAAAAAAAACCCTCTAAAACATATGGAGGGTCTAATGAATGCCATTACATCACTTTCCAGATAAATTAGATATCTAAGATGCTTAAAAAAAAGAAAACTTCCAAGCCCTGAGTTGATCCAAAGGGGTTTCAGTCAAACTGTCTTCACTGAGTGCATCTATATCACCCTAAGGCAGTGGTGTCAAACATAAGGCCCGGGAGCCAGAATTGGCCTGGCAAACACTCCAATCCGGCCCACTGGATGGATGTCTTTGGAAAATGGGAAGGAAGGCTTTTAAATGTATTTTCATAAATTTTACAGCCTGTCCTATTGATAAAGAACTCCTCCACAGTCATTCATAGTACAGTAATGAAGTAACAGACAAAATTACAGTTCCTGTTTTTTTAGTATCTACTGCAGAAATGCGGGGGTTTATTTTATTTTTTTATTACTTTCTATCCAAAGTAAAATAAATCAATAAAATAGAACATTTTCTATAAATTAAATAAAAAAGCTGCCAGAACTTTTTCTGTAACTTTACATGTGCAGTTAGACTATTTTACACAGTCAAAAAGGAGTCTGGGCTGCCTAACATTAAATTGGGCTGCATGCGGCCCATCATGTAAAATGAGTTTGACATCTATGCTCTAAGGCCTCCCATAAACTGTTCTCGGTTTAATTTTGAGTTTTTAAGATCATAGTTTGGCTGATTTGAGGTTATCTGCTGATTGTTCTGTTTTCATCTCAGTCTCCACTTCACAACTAACTTCACCTATGTTTTGTGCGTGTGTGTGCACGCGTGTGTGTCACTGACTCAGAGTGTACTCACATTCATTTAAAGATCCTTCTTAAAAAGAATTTCTTATTAAAATCTAACTTTGGCTGTATTTCCTCCTTGACTGTAAGGTCTTATTAATGCTGTGGCTCAGAGACCAAATGGCCTTAAAAACATTGCCGTTAAAGCTCTCCTGTCAAGGCCTCACATGGAAAAACTTTTGAAGCCATGTCTTTCTGTTAAGTGATACAGGGCACCACAATATCCTGCTTCACATCCCAATTAAGAGATTTGAGGTCAATTTAAAGCCCCCCCCACCCCCCCCAGCCCCACCCCAAGGTCATAATACGAACTTTCAGGCTGTTAGCCTGTTAGGCCCAGACAAATGGAGAAAAAACATTTTAAAAAAAGTGTCTGTCATCATGGTCTGTTTCTTGTCTGCCACTTTGGTCTAAGCCTCGGACTCTCTCCTTCCTCTACATTTAGAGGCATACATATATGTGTCTGTACGGTGAAAGTAAGAACAGCACTCCCAAAGAGTCTGTGTCAGTGTGTTAACTGTGTCAGTCATGGGAACCACACAACAGCCACAGCAGCAGACTGACCACAATGGCTTTAGTGGTTGGCCGGCGTGTTCTGCTGTCGGGCAATCGTTTGAATTATTACACAGAAATCTGGTGTTGCAATGCATGCACTCTTAATCCTGAGGCTTCAGTCTGATTTGTGATAATTGCACATCTCACATCGTTCCTTCCTGTTTATTCTCACTTTACATACTCGCATATTTAGAAACCCGAGGACAAAATTTTTTTCTTTTTTTTTTAACTGCGCTTTTCTGCCAGAATGTCAAATCAGCCACTGAGACATTTTGCCATTTTACTCCAGATTATCCAGTGAAGCAGCTGGCACCGCTTCAAACTATAGCACCCCACCCCCCACTCTCCCGTCCCAGCATGACTAAACTGGAAATGGTTAAGCTCTTCTAATAACTTCCATACTTACATTTTCTGGTGGTTCCCCCACAAGGAGTCATTCGCAAAATAGCTTTTCTTGTCGCTGAGTGCAGTGTGAACGTAGTACGTGAGCCACTGCAATTGTGCGATTAAAAAATGTGTTATTTGTTACTTTTTTTTCTTTTTCTTTTTTGCCAGACAACAGTTTAGTTTCAGCAGTCACAACAAGGTTGCAGCCATTTGTTCTGGCTTTGTTGAATAACGGCCCAGTATCAATACCACATGGGTTGTGAAGTGGATTTGGAATTAATATTGTTATAGCATGGTTACTGGCACATATTGATGTGTTTACTTTTCCTTTGTTTCTCTCAGTGTTTTTAGTTAAGCACTATTTCTAGGAAAAACTCGTGAAAGTCGAGATGGTAAAAATGATCTTCACCCCTTCAGGTTTCTCTTCATCTTTGCAGCGCCTGCATTTTTGCTTATGTAAGCATTAGATTGTAATTTATGACCTCTCACATTCCAGGTGTCATGACTAGTCGGGAAGTAACCCTTAGATGAATGAAGATTGGGTTTTTGCGCAGATATAACTTCTCGTGATGTGTTTCTGTTTAACGCTATCCCTCTCCTCTCCAGGGTCCAGCAGGCCTGATTGGGATAGCTGGGGTGATAGGAGTTCCTGGTGAAAAGGTGAGGTGTGTGTTTCTCTGTCATTAGGCTGTCAGACAGCATGAGCTGCCTGCCTGTCAGTGGCAGACCTATATAATTAGGCCATGGCTTGAGGCCCACGAGCCCCAGAACACGTGCTTGTATAAACACTCAACACTCTCACATCCTCATCCATAACAATATTGTCAAATCCACATCACCACTATTTCCTTTAAACCCTCCTGCACTCTGCCGAATGTCAAGCTATAATGAAAGTGAACATTTGATTACAATACTCTTTAGACAAATTTGCTTGTCTACGGATGTTAGAAACTCCCAAAATATAATTGTTTCTGACACAGTGCTTTTTTAAAAGTTCTTTTTCCACCTCAGCTTATGCCGAGTAAACGTGCACAGCATTACACACCTTTTTAATCTCTGTACAGTAAATTGTTCCCTCCCTCTATCTCAACCTGCAGCCCCTTTTCCTTCCTATCCAGAAGGCCCGTTTGTCAGAACATGTTCTTGTGGTGGGAAGCCATCTGCTTGTCAGATTCTTGCTTGTCCTCCTACTCCTCTTACACAAAAATCCTCCTCCTGGTTCAATCTGTCATCACCAGCTGTACCCTGACAGCCTAAAAATTCTTTTCACATTATAGATATATGGATAATATTTGTTTAATACTGCTCTAAGTATTTCCAAAACAGTTCCATACGAATAGTCTGATCCCTGTGTGAGACAAGGTGGAATAACAAGTGTTACAGAGGTTAAAAAAAGCCCTTGGAAGCTTTACTGATCAGCTGGGCTTACCTTTGGCTTTTATTATACTGTGCAGAGGGCCAAAGACAATATATATATTAGTATCTGCTATTTGTACACCACTGTCACATTTACCTTCTACACTTAAAGAAGCTCCTCTCCACTTTCATGGCTTTTATTAAGTAGAAATGTATGTGAATGCGTGTTGAGGTTTTAGGTCATGGTTTAATGATCAACTCTTCCTTTTCCTCCAGGGTGACCGGGGACCACCAGGTCCAACAGGTCCAGCCGGAGAGAAGGGGCCCAGGGTAAGTGCAGTCACTCAGGATATTCTGCAGCTCTCAGTTTCTTGTCTGACAGCTCACAAACCTACGGTAAAAGGGTTAATAGACTAAAACAGTAAACTAATGGCTAAAGATGATGAGTTAAATTCGAACCACTAAGCGATGCTGGCTGTAAGCTTTGGCAGATGTTACATGTTTTAGTTCCTGGAAATGAAGGCAGACCCTCTAGAGACCCAAGTTCCAGATTACTCCGTGTTGCAACTTCTGAAGGTACAAATGTTTGCAAAATAGATCTTTCCACAGTGTTGTTATTGAAGGTGTTTGCATAGTGAAACCTTTCACTGTAAATTTGCAGTAATATACTGACAGCAGCACAATATAGAGTATTGCTGCAAATAAACGTGCAGATACTATATTCTTGGAGATTACGAGAATCTTTTAGCTCTTTTAGACACCTATCTAATCTCTAGATAGGTAATATTATCGAGTGTACTGAAGGATTAGTTAGAGCTACCCACAGGCATGGAGAATCTGACCAGTGTAGCAGACCACTAACAGTCATTCAGTTTGTACCTCATTGTAACACTAAAGAGAGCCAAAACCTAACCTAGCTGTGTATAAACTGAGTAAACATAGTGCCCATTGATTGTGGGTTACTGAGACTGAGTAAAAACAGTGTCCAGTGCAGCAGTGTTTCTTATATGTGCTGTAATGCTGCATGAATCTTCAAGAGAAGCTGGCCTACATCCTACACTGTCCAGGGGCCTTGGATTGACTCCATGTCTGTGGCTTTGGGCCCCAGGCCTGACCTAACTAATCTGGTGGCAGTCAAAAGGCTAGCGTGCACATTTGGCTAAGAAGGAGAGAGATGTTTGTGAGCTGCGAGAGGGATTGCAGTGATTTGTGTGAACCAGTTGGTGGTGTAATGTAGCCACATTAACGAGGAGTGGAGGTTGAGTTTAGAGGCTTGTGCTGTGTAATCATCACAGATTACAATGATCTTATCCAGAAATTCTGTTTCTGTTCAAAGACAATTTGCAGGATTAGCATTTTCTGGAACGTGTTCTAGTCTTTAGTGACTTTCTTTGACTTTTGGGTGTTATTCCCTCATAGATAATTATAGGAAAATACTGTAAAATGTGGGTGAGAACCACAACACCGAACAGCCTGGAGCCCATTCTAAGACAACATAATATGAAACACAGTTCTGTTCACCGCTGCCCCAGATTAGCTGCTGATCCCAAAGCATAGTGCAGATAAGCCTGGATATTTTATGTCGTGTTACCGCTTTTACTTTTTAAAAATGATTTTGTAGGCGATATCAATAAAGAGTGACATGTTTTCCCCTTTCTTTTTGGTGTCAGGGTTATCCAGGGTTGCCAGGGAGCCCAGGGGACATCGGCATGCAAGGTGCACCTGTAAGTGGAGCAACAAAAACATGCAGGATTTTAACCTCATGCATACCTCCCTATATGTGTATTTTTTGTCATCAATTTCCTTTGCTGAGTACTTTTTGCTCCCTGTGTATTAATGAATCTCATCTTCTGTACCAAGTGTCTCGGCTGGATGTCTGTAAATACCTAAATTGCAAGATTTTCTTGGGCCCTTAAACTGTGCTGAAGGATCACGCTCGTCTTTGTAAACACCCAAAGTTTATGAGGGCTATTTGATACATCAGTTTCCCCCATTCTCACAATTTAGCGTGGAGCAGTAAACAGTGCGTCTAACTGGCTGAAGATCATTTCCACCGAGCTGTTTGTGCAGCATGCCGTAGGTTCACAGCATTAGTGATGATGTGGTTAGAAGATGCATAGTTATTTTATCTAAATATTATAACCATAACTCCACCAAATATTATGAAAACCTTCAAACTTTATTCTTATTTTTTCCCTTCTTCTTATAATTTCCTGGTCTATGTTCTCACTAATTTCACTTCTATATCCACACTGTTTTTTTTTTTTTCTGACAGGGTCCACCGGGACCGAGGGGTAGTCCAGGCATTGCTGGGCCAAAGGGTAGAAGGGTAAGAGGAGACTGTAACATTTGGGCACAAGCTGCATCAGTCCCTTAAAAAAAACTTCCCTCATCAGACCTTTGGTTTGTCTGTTTCACATCACATCTTCTTTCCCATAAACCAGAGCTTGAAGCAATTAAAAGACATGTGGATGTCGTTCCACATGGCCCAAGCTTCTTTATAGGTGCAATTACAACTGTTTCACGAGCACCATGAGTCTAGTGTTAGAAGACATCATTGTAAGGTCAAACCAGTGAGGTGATTTAATGCTGGTGGGACATTGTGTGGCAGAGAGAAGAACAACACCTACAGGTGGCAAAAGAACAGTTTCTGGTTTCTGTGCTTGTGATTTTCTAAGAATTTAAATTCTGCAGCAGCAGAAATTAAGGAGGAAGCAAATTTAAATCCTGAACCAACTTGGCAGATATACATGCCACGGCATGTCCTGCTATCTTTTAATAAGATTACTGCAGTCCTGTGGTATTAACAGAAATCTGTTTGCCCTCAAAAAAAAAGATTGGATTTTTTATTTGATTGGAAACAAACTCTTTTGTTTTGTATCTTGACATTTAGAAAAGTCCCCGAAGAATCGTTTAATTGTTAACACATAAGCAGCTTTTCCAAATTTCTTTTACCAGCAAGGTAGTTAAAAGTTTGGTGCTTTCTTGTAAAATACTGGGCTAGCGTAAGCAAGCAGAAGCTCATTTTGGACTTTTCAAACTTTTATTTTTGCAAAAATCGCCTCTTTAAATTGATAGTTTACATCCACTTACAGTAGCTTCTGCACCAAACAGCAGCTTTCTAGTTGAATGTGTCCTATTAGGAGAAAAAATAATTGTAATAAGTTACTACCACATTACTTTAGTTCTCATCTGAGATCGTCTTCTTTAATTCTCAGAATGTTTTCTTCCTTCTGCATATTTTGCCCAGAAAGACATACGACACTTGCCACTTGAGTTGTTTAACATAATCCACACGTGTGTCAGTTCTGTCTTTGTTGAGGTCAAATACATCAGTCATTGTAAATGCATGTGATTTATTGTAGGCCAAAGAAAACTGACTAAAGTGAATTATTAAAAAACAGCTGTTATTGAAACAACTAAATAACTGCTTTGCCTATTTTCCCACCAAAAAACATGAAGAAATATGAATCTCAGTCAACATCTGGTTAGTTGTGAGACAGGCAGCCAAGCTGACCAAGCTGACCTTTAAAATGACAGCAAACCTTATGGCAACTCAGTGTTGTCATAATTTTACTGCTCCATGACCTCAGTGCCACACTGCAGGGGTGAATGTACGTCACCTGCCTTCAGTTAGTGTCCGTGCCACTAAGAAAAGTTTTTTCCACACTATTACAAGATTAAACAGATAAAGGAACATAGCATCCATTATAACATGAAAGATTAGGCAAAAGTAAATGACTCAATGGTGTTTAAATCAAGACTGAGGTTGGAGAGGTGAACAAAAGGAAAAAGAATATAACGATAAATCCTACAAGGAAGATAAAAGAGCAGAGTGACACGAGAGGCTCAAGCAAAATAGCAGCAGATTTGTCCTCAAAGGAAGAGATATAAAAGGAAGACTCAATGGAGAGATAAGCTGAAAGGTCTAAAAGCATGGACAGGAGCAAAAAAAAGAGGGGGGCTGAGGGTGTCGGTGTTATAGATCGTTGTCTCTGTATGGTGGCGCTACAATGCTGTGAAACCCCTGAATCTCTGTGGGGGTGGGAGGCTGCTACATCAGGCTGGAACACCTCCCCAAACAGACAAACAATACAGACTAATTACTTTGCTGGTGGTGCTGTTTCATTACCCATAGTTGGCATGTGAGAGCTTAGATGCTCAACGTACTGTTCTTTCTTTGTTGAATGATGTTCAGTGGTGTGGCTCGTCTTGTTTTTGCACAGGGACCCCGAGGTCCAGATGGCCCACCGGGAGAACTGGGTCCTGAGGGCATCAAGGTAACATCATGGTATAGATATAGTAGGAAATTGACACTAATTCCTGTGTGTTAGCTGAGGCTTTATCCTAAATCTCGTTCCAAACGGTGGTATGTTTTTCAGGGTGAAAAGGGGGAGATCGGACCTAAAGGAGAGCCAAGCTTAATAGTAAGTAGTTTAGGTCAACGTGTTTTCACATCTGTATAAGAGAGAAACAGGGAATGCTGTGTGTTTTACATATACTTGAAGGCCTTTGAGTACATTTACGTAGCTTAATTTGTCTGAAGCCAAGAATAATAAAAAAAAGTCATAAAATATGCGTCATCCAGCTTCATCGGACAAGCCAACAAGCACGCCCCCCTTCTTGAAGATGCATATTCACTTCGTGGAAAGGTCACGAGTGCGTCTGATTTCAAACAGCATCAAGAACAACAACGGCTTGCCCGGTGCACAAGCTCCATCAGACTTTAAGCAGTTTTTATCTTCAGAGGGAGGCTTTGGTCTAGTTGCCCCTGTGGCGGATTAGATGCAAATGTAATTCACCTGTGCTGCTGGCGGTCTGTAGTAAAAGAAACCTGATCTCAATAAGCTGAAGAGTAGCAGGATGAAAGTAAACATTTGGGCTGTTTTGCGCCATCATGCAGTTGAAGATAAATGAACAACACATTTATTTATTCCTCCTGTAAAACACTCACATTTTTGTCTTCATATGGGAGAAATTCCCTAAAACTCGATGTTTGAGCGGTCAATGTCAAACATCCGTCTTTCTGCTGTGCGGTAGTAGCTGGAACTGCATCACCATCAGACATGGTAATGGGTTTGATTTGAGTTAACCTAACGTATTTCAATACACGTTAATCATTCATATGTATATTTTTCTTCTTGAAGGGCAAGGCTGGAAATCCAGGAGAGAGAGGCCCTCCTGGGAAGCCTGTGAGTAATATTTCTTTCCTTTTGTCTCTTAAAGCTTTTTTTTGTTTTTTTTTTGAGAAGCAACAGTGTAGAATAGTACTTTAAAGCTATCATGAAGAATCATTTTATTTGCACTAACAATACACACTCTGCGCTCTTCATCAGCATGTGATGATGCGCTCCTTGCTGCTCGTCTGGCATGACTTCAAGGTTTCGCACGTTGCGCGGTACTAAAATTATTATGTCTCAGTTGCTAACACAATTTCCTCCTTTTATATTTAAGAAATAAGGAGTAAATCTTCACTACTTTAAGCCCGTTTACAGTGTTCAAAGTCCAAATAAGACATTCATCCAGACCTGTTTCATTTCATTTAATCACAGCCATCCATTTTCTTAACTGTTTATCCAGTTCGTGGTTGCAGATTAGATAAGGGTTTATTAAGAGAAATGGAATGCACCTTTCTACTCTGTTTCATCACTCAAAGTGCTTTGTATAACATTGCTCAGTCACCCATTCATTCCAGCACTTTTTTCTATGTCTGAGTGCTCGCTATATCTAACATTCACACGTTCACACTCCAGTGAAAGCATGGAGGGCAACTCAGGCTTCAGTATCTCACCAAGGATACTTTTAAGCATGCAGAGTGGATCAAAGAGCTGTGACCACAGTAAATACTCAGTGGGATATTTGAACAAATAGATGCAGCAGGTCACGCCACAGTCAGACTTTTGGCAGATTTTAGGAGCCCTAGGTTGTTGTTTTTTTTGGTTTTTTTTCCAACCCTTTTTTGGTCTTTACAATTAATTATTGATCAAATGATGAATTGCAGTTTTGATGCATTGCGAAAGGCTGCAATAACTGATCAACAGATGGCAAAAGCATGTAAACAGCAGAGATCAGTGGCACAATCAAAAATGGCTCCATGTGGGCTGGTTAATTATGGAGTGATGATCTTCACAGCAGTCATATCTATCTGTCTAGCTCGCTACTCTCTCTCTCTAATATGTATGTATGTGTGTATATGTAGATAGATATAGATATATATGCTGTTTATCACCTTCATTTCTTTTCGTGCTGTTGTTTGGCTTGTCTTCATTTACCACTGACAAATGAGCTTCTTTACTTGCCCACAAATCATGTCTTGGCTGAACAGTTGACGCTTTGGGATTGTTGGTAATCATTCTTATCAGACAAACACCTACAAAGACGCGTCTGGGCCTGCGTTCTCTCTCTCAGTCAGCCATCGGTACAGTGAAACACTCGTTCAGTACATTCGTGCCATCCTTTGGACGGGACATCAAGCACAAACTTGGGACTTGTTTCAACCTGTGTGCTTTCCAAACACAGCTTGCATCCTCACCTCACAGCGAGGAGTTTCTGCTGACAGTAGCTTTTGTCCCACTGTTGCTGCCACTGCACTCTTTTAAAGGAACTTTCTCTACCTTTCCTTGCTGCTGCCAAAGATGCAGCATTGTTTCAATTTTTCCAACTCTGACGTCTTAGCGCCATCTTGTGCCCAATAAAATATCTCTCAAAACTTGTAACTCATTCTAATTCCTATTTTCTCTGTGCAAAAAAAAAAAAGAGAAAAAAGAACCAATTGAGTCATAGCGAGAAAACGATGCTATCTGTGATGTCATGTCCCATGAAGTTCACAGTCGAAGGCAGTTCTGTTAAGTTAAAGCAGCTGACAGTGGTTGTGACTGCTGCTCATAAATCTTTTTGTGGTCCACGCTCTTTTTTTTAGCCCATTACTCTAACTGGCTCTTGTTTTTAAACAGTAAGTGAACTTTAAAAATTGTCATTGGCTTTTGTGCTTTTTTGTACTTCTCCCCTTAGTTCATTTCACTCACCTCGTGTACAGTTTGAAAACATATTTTTCCCTTGTGTCTAACCTTTTCAGTAGACGGAAGCAATGCTACAGAAGCCCTAAATTAACAGCACTGGGAATTAACAAAATCATTTTTTATGTTTCTGTAGTGGTTAAACCACCATTGTGCACAAGCTCTTTAATCAAAATGATAGTAAATGGTAAATGATGTTATTATTTCTGGATTAAGATGCCAAATTACAGTTATGTTTCCATTCAGGAATGCCAGTAAATGATTTTTAGCGGTTGAATGTCCTTTTGACTGGGACTATTGGACTTTAACCAGCTATGCTGCTCTAAATTAATATCCAAAGGACTTACCTTATTGAATTAAATAGTAAATTGACTTGTTTGTATAAAGCACTTTATACCTCATGTCTCATCACATACGCACTTTTTTTTGTGTCTAAATACTTTCTTCGATAAGTGAACGAGAAGTAACTCAAGGTTCAGTATCTTGCCCAAGAATACTTTGGCACATAGACTGGAGTAGCCAGGGATTAAACCACCAACCTTTAAATTAGCAGATGACCTGCTCTGCTTCATGAGCCACAAAACTTCTGATGTTGCAAATTTAGCTCACAGGCATAAAAACAAATGCCATTGGTCACATAATTGGAGTGTCTTGGCTATACAATGTTTGGACTACGACAAACAGAGTCTCATCCTGGAGTTTCTGTGTTGTGTCTGTAGCTGTCAGGCAACCTTGAAATATTAAACTCAGCCATCGCGTGTGTGTGGCCACACGGGAAATTGTGGTGATAATGATGGTGGTGTTGGTAATGACGAGAAGCCGTGCATGACTTCTGTTAACTACACAGAATGTTTGAGTGAATCACCACTGAGCTCATGATTATGTTTCCAGGGAAAACCAGGTATTCCAGGCAGCACCGGGGAGAGGGGAGCCCAAGGTGAACCAGTAAGTATGCGCTTTTTTCCTGCTGCATTGATGTGGTTGTTACAGGAAACTGCAAACAAACCGCATGCTGTGGAAAACACCTTCAGCAGAACATGTAATGACAGCGGGGAGAACGCGCTCGCCCGTAGATGCTCGCACGAGTTTCGCGAGGGAGAAGCTGTTACAGTTTAAATCACACGAGAAGCTCTGATCTTAGCAGAAAGAGAATCATTTCGGGGGAGGGAGTATATATTTGATATTCTTTATTTTCTTCCCTCTTCTGCTTTCACCACACCTGAATGCTCCCCACCTTGTGCCTCCCTTTTTGGCTTAGTCTTCAAATTCTTAATTTGCCTGGAACTCCTTCAGTCCCCACAGGGGCAGGAGGAATGTCAAACAGTCAGATACAGATATTTATAAGGGTGAGAGCTTTCTGTAATGCTAGATGCTCGGTTTATGTTATAGGTCTCATCTTGTGTGTTTGGCTGGTCTTCAGTCTTTTTATTTCAGACTCATTCAATCTCATCTCTCAGTTCTTTTTCTAGACTAGACATATAATTAAAAGTTGGGGCATTACATGCTAGAATTTTTTATTATATCTATTTTGTTCTATTTTGTTTTAAGTTCCTGATGTAGAAGTTAATGAGATTCCTGAATCATTGTGTTTGTGTGCTTTAGCCATGGTGGTTCTTTTTCTTTCAGGGACCCAGAGGACCTGCTGGAGAGGCTGGACCTGATGGAGAACAAGGACCTGAAGTACTTTACATTAAATGCTCATGATGCTTTATTGATTATGAGTATTATTTGACAATCCTATCCAAATGTATACAAATGAAATATTGCCTATGGTTCTCTTTCCCATCATTGTAGGGTTTACCAGGCTTAGAGGGAGAACCAGGTGCCATTGGAGAGCCAGGGGAAAAGGTTTGTACTGTCTTGTTATAATTCTTGAACCTTTGCCTTCTTCCTGCTCCACTAATTTGCAAATCAATGGGCACGCTCATTGAAAGTGAAACAGCGGGTGATGCAAATATGTAAGTGTGTTCTGACCTCCAGCCAGCTTCTTGTTGTGGTTTGTCTCCCTGTAGGGTGATGTTGGGCCTCCAGGAGCTGAAGGGGAGCAGGGGCAGGAGGGAATGAGAGTGAGTGACTGCAGTTTGCTAATCCCTTCCTTCCCTGTGTTCGGGTAACCCTAACCCAGTTGTATATTTACTCACCCCCCTCATTCTGACAGAGATGTTTTATCCGCTTGCCAGAAGAAAGTAGAAATACAAGAGTGTTTGTGTGATGTATAAACTATATATATATGTAGATGGAACAGACTGCTTTAGTTTCATCTTCCCGTGTTGTGCACAGAATTAGGCAGAGCTTTGAATGGCTGGCTGTCCGTGGGCAGATTTTTTAACATGACAGGGCTTAACTGTGCAAGATCCATTCAAAAACATTGTGTGTTAGATAAGTGTTTCATTAAGTCGAGGCTTATTGCAAAGAATGGCACGATGCAGCCCATGAGTACTGGATATAAGCTGTCAGCAGCAGAGGGGCCAAGCGGCTTCTGTCAAACATGCACACACTTTATGCCCCAGTCTCTATCTTCCTTTCATCATTTCATGTATTTTAAGTTCCTCATATGTACTTAAAACTATTTTGATTATGTAAAATGTGTGAGAGGGAAGCGAGCTAAATCTGCAATCCTTTTCTATCAAATACTTGGATGGAAAACAAAAACCTGGATCATATGTGACATGTGGCAGTATGGTTGTTTCCATGGAGATCTTACCAGTGCAGATGTTCTATGAGGTCTAGGTTTTATAGTTTAAATGATTATATTGTGGATTTCAACATAATTTGAATTTTTCATGAATCTATTTCCATTTTAGAGAGCGCTGCATGATTTTTGCCTTTTGGTTACGCAAAAATAATTATCCCTTAATGTATTTTTGTTTTAAACAAACACATTATAAATACAAGATAAAGTCTAGTTCTCATCACATTGAAGTGATGTGCAAGTATATTTGAGGATGCATGCATGCAGTAGGTTGGATTAGGTCGGGCTGGGAGCTTTTTTTATCACACGTAACCACAGGTTACACAAATTATTAAACAATCTTGTGTTACCAAGGGATGTGAAGTTGTGCAGAGTATTATTTAAACTTGCCGAGGATTTCCAGAAGCAGCATGCCTGTTACTAAGAATCAATGTCTATTTCATAAACGGCTCCAATTAAAACTGAAGTAAAAATTCATAGATGCATTGTAGTTTTCTTGGCACTTGAGTTGAGATGTAATAGGAACTGCTGATTTCTAACTTTTTACAGCAGATGTATTTAAAACTGTTTTTATGTTTTAAGGGTCCTCCCGGTCCCCCTGGTGAAGATGGACCTCAGGGAAAAGATGGAGCCAAGGTTTGTTGACTTGTGTGTTCTTGATTATTTCTGATCAAATGAACCAGGGAGGCAAAAGATTTATTTTAGCAGGACTGACCCTATGATAGTAAATCAAAATGTTAGAACATCCGCAGATTAGCTCAGGATTCCAAAATAGGTCATCCCAGTGGTACATTGAATCTCATTGCATTACTTAGTATATCCACTTAATTTCACACTGGATTTGAGTATGATATTAAAATCTACGGAAGCGGGTGAAAGTAATGTTAGTTTGCCCCAAATCTTCCATCTTTCTAGTGGTAATATAATAAAAGCTTATTCTATTGTTGCTGAATTGTCTTTACTTTTACTCTTTTCTTGTGTGCCTGTTTTCCTCTTTCTACGTCAAATTGCCAGGGTGAACCTGGAGAGCGTGGGCCTTTTGGGGAGCCAGGGGAGAAAGGGACAGAAGGGGATCCTGGACCCCTGGGGCCACCTGGAGAGCCTGGGAAACAGGGTTTCCGTGTAAGTTAATATTGGTCCCAAAGTTTAACTTTCAGATAATACAGCAAACTTCATGTAAATGAGGGAAATCTAGAGACACATTTCTGTAAATAATACCTTTGATTCCCAGTAGGGGTCACTCTGCTCTTCAATAAAAACGTTTTGCTACTGGGTTGATAAATTTACCTTGTCAGAGATTTTGGATGTGTAGCATGGTCTGAGAGCTGCAGATCTTAGGTTCTTGGTGTTTGGAGATACAGATCCAAGTCTAGCCATGGGTGACAAGGAGCAAGAAGGTCACTGTTATCTGGAGGGAAGGACGCAGATTCAGAGTGTATCTAGTGTATCAGTATCTGCTGGTTAGTGTTTAATCTGAACATCGGGCAATAAAGTGAGATAGAATCCAGAATATGACAGAGTCTGTTCTGGGATAATTTAAAACGTATTTTAAGCAATATAATTTACTGGCAATCACTTTACAGGGTCCAGAAGGAAAAGTGGGTCCCCCAGGAAACAGAGGACGGCACGGAAAGAAAGTAAATATCCTGATCAGCCAAGTTCCATTTAACACAAAGGGCACATTTAACACAGAGAGCCACTGAGGCATCTAGTCTTATAGTTTATTTTTAAAGTAACCTGCTTACAATAAAACGAAAACAGCAAGATTTATTAATAATACTAATTTTTATGTCTTTTAATTATATTTACAATCTTTTACAGGGAGAGAGGGGTCCTCCTGGTCTTGCTGGGGAGATTGGCGCTCGGGGAGACATCGGCCAGCCGGGCGAGCCAGGACTGAAAGGTGCCAGGGGAACTCGAGGCACATCTGTAAGGTCCCATTTCTTCTTCTACTACTGTAGGTGTTGAAGACTGCAAGCCACAGTTTATATTGAAGGTGTGGCCTGCAGTCTATGATGTTTGTTAATTGAATCTGTGGAATTGTATCAGCTGAACCTTTAGCTATAATGGGCTAGAGAGGGGAAAAAGACACATCTTGTGTATAATTAATTCTTTATACTGCTGAAGTCAATCGAACTCAGAATTTTAAAACCAAAGCAAACTGTTAAAACCAAAGCAAGAAGATGTAAGAGATGGCAAGCTAGGAGGATGCCAGACATTTTTTCAGCTCCCCTTTCAGTAGAACCACTGAGACTACTTTGATATAGCTGTGGATCAACGATTTATAAGCCTGCCAAAGATATATTTATCTGGAGAAGACCTAAAAAGCAAAGCAGAAGCACCATGACTGATTCAAGGCCTTATTTCGCATTTTCTGCATTGCTTCCAGGGTCAGCCTGGAGTCATGGGGATAGACGGGCAACCAGGACTTCCAGGATACCCAGTAAGTTTTTCTTTTCTAAACTTGGTTTCATGAAAACAGTCTTTTTGTCTTCACTCGTGTATACATGAATGTGTATTGTATAACCATGTGGGATAAACACACACACGCACGAAAACTTAACAACCATATGTGCACATGCTCAGAAACGCACAAAACCCCATGAGTACAGTGCCCTGAGATTTTCATGCCAGAACACTTTACTCACAGTTATTGAAGAAAGAAGGATGACTGACACATCAGTCATCCTTCTTTGCTTTTCTCGGTAGCCTGAGATATCCTCAAAAACACTAGATATCAGAAAATATCTTTACAAATTCTACACAAATAGAGCCTAATGCTTGTTGCTAATGTTTTTTGTGAATCTGTGTGTGCATGTGTGCTTTTAGAGTCCTTCAGACTTGATTGAATCTGACATAATATATGGAATTTTGTTTATCCCTAAAGAACAGTTCTGATTAAAAGCCAGCATAAGTGTGGCAGCCCCATTACGTACAATAGTCAGGTTTTCTTTTTTTTCTTTAGGGGCACCTTGGAAAGCCTGGGCCCGTTGGCCCGCCAGGACCCAAAGGTGAAAAGGTAATTTGATACCTGAATTTGTGACTTATGTCCTTAACTGGATTTCTTAGGTTATTCAGAGTTCTTTAAAGTACTAAATTATCTGCCTGCAATCTACATCCACTCATCTATGATTGTATGTTTGTGTTTGCTACATCCCAGGGTTACCCAGGCGAGGACAACAGGACCCCAGGACTGCCAGGGCCCTTAGGTGAACCAGTAGGTCTTGCTTTCCTTTAAACTCTCCATTCTGATCTCTCCTTGCTCTGCTTATCCAAAGCAATTTAAATACCAGATTGAGACTGGATGTAAAAGTTAATCCTGATCAGCTCCTGATTTTAGCACCAAATGCACTCATTGATAAAAAATGAATGTTAAAGTTTCTTATCCTAAATCTGTCATGTGCATGAAGCGATTATCAACCTTCTGTGTCTTAATTACTGACTGAGAAGTTAGAGACAAAACGGCTACCTCACACACAGGGCACAGCTAAAGTTTTCTTCCTAATACCTAAGTCACCACAAGGATTCAGCATATTTCACAGTGACTCATTCTTAAACTAATATCAAAGGAGGATCAGCATAAAGCGGCTTTAGAAACCCCGGAGTCATGCAGTCATACAACAGTTGTGTTCTCTAAGATGCATTTCCCCTGCAATAGTCATGATGACTACTGACAGAGGCTACACTGCATGAACAGTTGGAGGTATTGGCTGTCTGCACGTCAGTAGTATTGAATTTTCAAGTTGGCACAGAATTGCAGTGTATAGTATAAGCAATACAATGCCAGCCTCTGCTTTATTGTACCCTGTAATCACGTTCAGAGAGATTCATGTGTTTGATATGTGGGGAGTGAGTCTGAGTAGGTGCCCAGCTCACCTGAAGCTGTGCAGGTAAAAGACAGTCATGTATGTATATGCAGTATGCACATTCATGTGTGTGCATTCATTGTCTACGCAGGGGCCTCCAGGGGAACGAGGAGAGCGTGGAGAGTCGGGGGATGAAGGCTATCAGGTAGGAACGAACCATTAAACGTCAGACACACAGCACTCCGCTCAGTCTGCTTGATTGTTGTTTATACTCCACGCTGCCCCTTTCGCATGAAGAGCAGACCACACATGTTGGAGAGGATTACCAAAATCCGAGCAATAAGGCTGAGAAAATCTGTTGCTTTTTCCCAAGAAGTACACACACTTGAGCACAAGTTCACGGTGATGGCAACGTATTAACTGGGGGGGTCTGTGCTAGTCTGTGAACTCGTCTCCAAATTCAAAAATCTTCATTGTCGTTAACATATAAAACATTTTGGTTTTTAGATGCATTTGTTTTTGTTGTATTATTCTGTAGTTTCCTTAGACAGGACAAAAGACAGACTGGTTAGTTAAGTAAATGGATGAAATAGCTTAATTCGGTGCAGTTATAGATAATATAAAAAAATCCTAGTTTTGATACTATGGAGCCTCTGAGTTTTTACTGCAGGTGGAAAACAGGCATTTGGGTATAGACATTAATTATGCTTTTGGGCTCCCTCTTTAGTAAAGAACATGAGAATGATGTGTATGTATTATTCACAAATAAAAAGTTACTTATCAAATCTGAAAATTATGTTTCAGGGCTATATCGGTACCCCTGGACCTCGTGGGGCTTCTGGACCACAAGGCCCACCGGTAAGTCAGTAAACAGCTGCCTAAAAATTTACAAAGAACTAAACCGAAGTTTTAGACTGAAGAAGGCTCGTGGATGAGAGCTAAAGAAGACTTAAAGAAGTCTGGTTGCCTTTTTATTTTCAAGCTTAAGACTACCATGACCTAATGGCAGAGAACCCACACAGCCGTAGCAACACTATTTAATCTGTTGTTTTTTTACATTTACCCACAGTTAAATATCTCTACTGTGTGCTGGCTATATTGTGGTGATGATAAATATATGAAATATCTAAATGTGTTCTTTCAAAGGGTGACAGATAAGTACGTCTTTAAATCAAAACTTTTTATTCAGTTTGAGAGTGTGATTGTTCTCCTAACAGGAAAATGCCTATTAGATTAGGATCTATACTGTGGGATATACTGTATATGCTGTGGAGTGTTAAAAGTGACTCGATTAAGAAGTAGGGTAAACAAGGATATTCCTTATAATCATAATATTGCATATCATTTTTATATAGATCTACACAGCTTGATAATATTTTGCGTGTTTATATTCTACTTACTTTATAGTGTATTCTTCCTTCGCACAGGGATCTCCAGGCTCCCCCGGAGAACCAGGCCCAAAAGGAGAAAAAGGAGCTCCGGTGAGACTTGACACCATTCACATACAGCATAATACAGCTTTTCAATAATGTGAATAGCTTAGGAAATCACTAAATTTGGTCTCTTCTCTGTGTGGAATGATTGATTTACACCTGACAGTAGAAAATGTACAAAACCAGATGCAAACAGATTTAACCAAAATCCCCAATTTGTCATTTTTTTAGCTGTCACCACAGGAGCATGCTGCTACAGATGTTTAAGCTGCTTGTCACGCTAGATAATTTTAGCTCAGCTGTGGTAGAATTCTGCTTACTTCATCGAGATAGAAAGCAGGCGGTTGAAGAAAAAAAAGATGCTTGGAGCAATGAAGTTTGGACAGCAACCAGGGAACTGCAGCTTTTCCTTACACCCTGAATGCACCATTAAACTTCTCAAATATTTAATCTGATGTTTATTAATGGCTCATTGCTTTTTGTTCTTTGATACTTAAAATGCAGATACGTTTTACTAACATGTGCTACCTTGAACTAACAGGTTTGCTTGCTTAGTCTCATGTTCTTTAGAGCCCTCAGTCTTCACAGGCTTTCTAATTGCATAACTATGCATAACTATGATTTCCCTGTGCAACAGCTTTGACGCTCCTTGATCAGGTTCCATACGGCCTTTTGTAATCTTGAAGTGTCACAGACATGACTGACTCGCCACCACATGCGAAACAGCTTGTATAGAAGAGTGATTATATAAGCAGTTCACATACTATCCAACCATTTCAGTGGATTTTGCCAAACTCGAGTTCAAATTAAGTTTGTGCAATACCTTAACATGGAACTTGTATTTCCATATGCTTAGAAGCACTGAGAACTTAGCAGCCTGCCAGGAAACACTGGAAACTTTGAGGATCTTCTGTATGCCTGTTTTAGATTAACAGCTTTGATAAAGCATTTCTTAAACAATATCTCTCTGGGACTATGAATAAATCACTGTCACTGGGTTGATGTTTTTAGCTGTTATGGTTTTAAAGTATCCATAAAGGTTTTGAACTGGACATTTCTTGCAACAGTATTCAGTGATTTTCACTAAAATCTGAAACATTTCTCTGTGAAGTATAGTAAAAATCACATTTTTACTGTGTAGAGAGTGATATACTAAAACATTTGTGTTTTCTTTTTAATGCACATGTTATTTTTCATGTTTATGTTTTTCTAGGGTTTGGCTGGAAAGAAAGGTGCAAGAGGTCTGGTTGGAGCTCCCGGCATTGAAGTAAGCATCATATTAGCTCAGTTAAGTGAATGGCCTAAAGAGAAGCAGCCGCCTCTTTACATTAGCTGAGAACCTTCTGCATCATCAAATTATTGCATATGTCTACACGGTTCTCATTCCTTTAAAAGAAAAAAAATCACAAGATCAACAGTGATCATTGAGAAAATAAACAGATGTGAGCTTTAATTTAAAAAACTTGATAAGCCAAAACCCAACATGATTGCAATAAAAATGCAAAAACTAAACTAAATCAAACTATGAGGAAGGCACTAAAGACAAAAGTAGGACATCTGGGAGCAGATGATTACACAAAGAGAAAGACAAGACTAGACATACAGGCTTAGGGATGACTGACAATGAGAGACAGTTGGAAATAAACAGGCAGGAAAGGAACAAAGACAGGAGACAAAACCCAGAGCAAGACACACAAGAAAACCAACCTTCAAAATAAAACTAAGTAACTGAAAGACAAAGTAACTGACAAATATGAAGACAGAGAAGACCAGGATAAATATTTTACTGTAATTTCTAACGATCCAGATGGTGGACTTCAGTGCTTCAGGCTAAGCATCAGAGGAAGAATCACAGGTGTAAATATAGTCACGAGATTATTGACGGAAAGTGATGTTTTACGAAAAGATTGATGGTATTTTTAAATGCCCCTCTGGCTGAAACTGACACTGTCATTTAACAGGGGCCGACTGGGTTACCTGGGCTCACAGGAATGAAGGGTTATCCAGGCCCTGATGGCCCCCCGGGACCAACTGGCTTAGCAGGACTCCCAGGAAAACAAGGTCGACAGGTAATCGGTGACATATAGACAGCAGCGTTTCCTTGGTGTTGGGATTAACATTATAGCAAACGCTAACTACGGTAGCCTTAAGTAATTGATTAGCTTACTATTTTAGGCAATTCAATAGTCTCACATTAATGAAATATATTTAAAAAGCAGAGTTCAGTTGAATGTTTTTCACCATGAGCACTGTTAATGTTGGTCGCAGAAGGAGTCGAAAGACGTAGTTGCACAGCTAAACTGTCAACAGGGGAGTTCCTTTACTGGAGACTTGCGGCGTGCTTTCTGTAGCACCACAAAAATCAACAAATGGGACTCATGGAATTGCAAGTGACCAAAGATTTACTCCAGCTCCTTCCATCTGTTATTGTATGAGTGGGACTGGAGACTTGGACTGATCATTAAATGTCTTGTTTGATTTGATTGGCCTCTTCATTTTGGGCCTCTCCAAATATATATGTAGCCAAAGTGGACTGGGATTACATGCGTGCAAAAGGCCTTTTAGCCAAGTTGGAAAGCCAAGTCCTACTGGTCTGGCTTTCATTTAGATAATGTTGTATGAAAGTCTAGTGAGGCTAATTTTAGCCATTGATGCTTTTCAGATGAACTAAAACTATACAGTTTCCCATTGGTAACATCCCCAACTGCACTGGTGTTGAAAGAACGTGAATAATCCCTTAAAATGATATCTGTCTAATTTAAATATAGTAACATGTCTTACATTGCTGTGTAAAAAGTAATGCAATGATTTGACATTGCATCACTTTTTACTTTCAGCGCCACAAGAAGGCAAATTTTCAGGTCTGCTGTAGTAGAGGGCCGTTGTTGTTTTACTTGATAAAGGACATTCTTCACTCCTTAACTTCAAGTCTTCAAATCAAACTGCTGCTTAAAAGCGGCTGATTCTGAGTCTTGGAGAAACCCTTTCAAATAATTTTCAGCTTTTCTGTGAATCAGTTTTAGTTTTTCACTCAAGCTGCCAAGAAAAAACTGTCAGGTTTCATAAATCCTTTTGTCGTTATCGTCTTTGCCCTTTGTGCCTAAGTTGGCACAGAATTCACTGTGACATCATAAATGAAATTTTTGGAAATAACTTAACAATTCATGCTCATGTTAAAAAGAATCACAACATTAATTTTTAATATGATAAAATGATGAACCGATTATGCATCACATGCCAAGTACCAGATGTCCATGGATGTTGTTATCTAGGTTTAATCTGGTCTGCCATTTGTGACATTTACAGACCCTCTTGTGTGCAAATTAGTTGAAAAGTTAAAATCCGTCTCTTTCGGGCTCAAATTCAACAAATTTATGTTTACCTTCCAAGTCATTTTCTTTTGATTAGAAGTTAAAATGATTTCTAAATGGCACATAGCCCCTTTTACCCGCATTCCTGTATGTGGGGAAAGGTGAAGGGTAAATTGTTCAGACCTTGGTTTATCTAAGGGTTTGCCACACCTGCATACTGTGGGTTTCATCCAGTAAACCACTGGTGGTGTAATTCCACCGAAATTCCTAAAGTATCCTGTCTCTTCACTGTCAGCCACATGCGAGGCAACAACTCACTGAGTGTGTTATTCTAAAATCTCAGGCTCCCTGCTGCCTCACCTACACTGCTGATGGAGCAGGAAACCACTGTGGTCTACAAAGTAAAAAACAACTCACTAACAGGTTTTCTGGACAGCCTTTAGACATACGCTGTCGAGGACCCGTGTTCTAAAATTGCTTCAACACAACAATTTTAGAATTTTGTTTATATAATGAAACACTGGAAATAGTGTTCATTGTACTCTATAGCAGCTAATTGTAGTAGATGTCAATATTTACCATCAGTAAATAACCCTCTCCACTAACACTCAAGTTCCAAATGATTTTTCCAACATGCATTTATACACTTGTGTTTAGCTTTTGCAGAGGACTATGCTTGTGGTTTTGTCTGCTTTGTCAGAAGTTTGAGTGTCATTTGTTTAATAGCAACATTTAAACAGAAGAGGCACCCATAAGATAGACCTCAAATGTGTCACTATATATGTCATTTACTATTGTAGAGTAGTGTTTTAAACAGTGGCATAATGTTTTGTGGATTTTGTGTTGTGCCTTTTGAGGAAGCACACTAACTTTAGTACCTTTTTAACCTTGGCAAAGATTTGTTCAATCATCTCTTGTGTGTATGTAGGGTCAGAGGGGCTCAGTGGGACTGGAAGGGCCTGCTGGACGGCCAGGTCCAATGGGAGAACTTGGACTTCCTGGACATTCTGGAGAAAGGGGACCGCCAGGTCACAAGGTGGAAATGTTAATCATTATAAAGACCCATTTTCTTTGTGAAAAAGAAAGTCATCTCCGGTGAGATAAAATGCTACTGTGACATGCACCTAAACTGTTTAATTGACCTTTTATTGGATCAGGGAGAACCTGGCCTACCAGGAGACAGGGGGGGCCCTGGAATCAAAGGCATGAAGGGAGCTGCAGGTGACCAGGGAAAGAAAGGAGACCCAGGACCCAAAGGGCTGTCTGTGAGTACATGCAAGCAAAGTCCTAAAATGGAAGTCAATCTTTAATAGTACTTGAGAACGTTTGTTTTAAACTGTGTGGTAGTTCTGTGATTTATTATCAAAGTTTTGACATACAATTAGGCCTATATATAAAAACAGCTGTAATTCCTTAACAGTTAATTTAAAAACTTTCGTTAAACTCTTTTTAAGATAATTTAAAGCTAAAATTTGCATTTCAATCACATCTTGTTTTTTTGATTTAAAATCCACTGCGGTGGTGCACAGAAACAGTCTCAGTGTGCAAAACATTTGGCTCTAACTGTATGTTTGAGGATCAGTTCTGTTCATCATGGACAGTGTTTAGAAGACAGGATTATGACTCTGATGCAGGACAGGACTTAAACTTAAAACAGTGTTTATTGCTGGTGTTTCATGGGTAAAACAAACAATAAGAGAGGCATTAGGGAGGCTCAGAGAATATATAGACACGCAGCAGGTAATTAGGGAGACTGGAAACACTGGGGAACACAGCTGAAACTCCTTTGGGAAAGCAAGACGAGGGAAACAAAACTACACACAGTGACCAAGAGACGAGGGACTATCAAAGCAGGACAGGAAGTAATCAAAAGACGAGAATATCAAATTCTAAGACTTCACAACGAGGCACAGGGGAGGCAAGAAGTGTGATAACGGATGGGAAACACAGACACATAAATTAACTAAATGCAGAATACTAGACACAAGAGGACAAACACAGAGGGAGGAATAAACAGCCAGGAACAAGGAATACAACAAAATACGCTAAATAAATGAACTGTAACCCCTAAACAAACCAAAACTTCAAGCTCCATCTAACTCACAATGCTGGGGCCCAGGACCAGGATGCTGGTAGCTGAATTCACATTTAGAGACAGTGCTACAAAATCAAATTAACTAGCTCCATCGCATAATATTAAATCAAGATACAATATAGATTTTTTTTAAATTCTATGCCTGACGCATTTTGTAACTCTTTAATCTTCACATTTGTACAGTTTTTATTTCAGCCTGTGTGTTTTTCACAGATACTTGTCATGTCTTTTTTTTCATGTACCCGGTAGAGTATATACATTACTTTCCACTGGAATGCACTTGTTGAAATATGGCTTTATAAGCTTATATACATTCTTTAATACCTCTCTAAATATAGCTTCAGGGACATATGAAGCCAATCTTTGGTGAGGTTTCAATGTGTGCCTGACACTTTTCCAACCTGAGTAGAGTAACAAATTATCTGGGCGAGACTAGGAATGGAAACATTCCACTTGGTGAGGCCAAGTTATGTAAGATCCTCACACTCCAGGGACCTGAAAAAGAGGTGCTCTGCTTTACTTATGTAACTCCCCGAAGAAGAAAAAAGAAACAGCATTTAATCCCTTGCTCTCCCCTCCTATAGTTATCTCCACTGATGCTCCTGAAACTGAGAGGAGACTCAGACCCTTGGGTCAGATCCCTTTACACATTTTAGTCAATAGAGTCTCTGGGCCAGAGTCACCGGTTTCAAAGTGGAGCTGTCTAAAGAATGTGGAAGACTGGCTGTACAAACACTGTCTGCCACCCTGGAAGGCATGTGCTTAGACACAGGATAGGACGCAGACATCCATCCCCTCACAGTGTGTCTAGGTCATGTGAGTGTGTGCACTGAGACTGCCGCAGATTGACAGAAAGTCTTCTGTGTGTGCCCCAGTTCTTTTGAAATAGAAAAGAAGGGTCTTTATAAGGCTTGCCTAGTGTCCCTGTTGTGTCTGGTATTAAAACTGGGTGAAAAATCAAGTAAATCAACCCCACCTCCACACACACACACTTGCCTTTTATATCTTAGTAAGGACATCTAATTGACATAATGCTTTCCCTAGCCACTTACTGTTACCCTAACCATCAAAAATGCCCAACCCTTAGCCTAAACCCAACTGTAGCCCTGACACTAAAACCACATTTTGTGCCTCAAAAATGCCTTCAGACTTATGGGGCCCAGAATTTGGGCTAGAGATTTGCTATTGGATGTTCAGTATACTAAATAACAAATATCAAGTTCCTTTCTTCTCCATTGGAGAAGAAAGAAATAAACAACTTATTTTCTATTGTCCATTATCTCCAATAATAAGTGTTGGCTTTATGTTTTGCATGTGTCTTAAGACCTATTTGTCTTAGGCACCCACCTTTATGAGTAAATCTCCGTAATTCTACTGAGGATATTGTTGAGAGATTTGCTGTCAGCCCCGATTACATCACATAAGAGAATTTTTTTTTAAAAGAGCCATCTTCTGCATATTGTGTTTTTTGTTTTTTATAGGGGGAAACTGGAGATTTGGGCATGATTGGTTTACAGGGCTTACCAGGACCTAAGGTAAACAACTGAGTGGCCAACATGTATTAAGAGCATATAGAAAAACGATAAAAAATAACAGGAGAGTAGGTTAGAATAAGAAATAACAAATATCTTTTTCCTTGAAACAGGGGCCAACTGGTGATTTAGGACTGAGAGGTTTCCCTGGTCCTAAAGGTCCTATGGGTACTTTGGTGAGTTTAATAGAAACTGAAATAGGACCAGGTAGGCACACAATGGTGCTTTTTTCAGAAGTACTGCTTTAAATCAAATCCCACTCAGGAAAGAACTTTCAGAAATATAAATACATTTCTGTTTTGTTCCCTGTTGTCAAAGTGTTTATGAAGAGAACATGAATGTAGACACATGTGCAGTACACCTTGAAGTCTTTATAGATGTTTTTACTGCTTTTTCAGCAATGTCACTGTTTGTTCCAGGGCTTCACTGGACCTCTAGGCCCTGAAGGAAAAATGGGTCCAATGGGAAAACCTGTAGGTTTTTTTTCTCATTTTGTGTATGTGTGTGTGTAAGACTTGTACAAAGAAAAAGGAATTATTACACTCTGACATTCAGACTTTCACTGTATGTATTGTTTAATTTCCAATAAAGACAGTTAATTGATAATACAGATTGGAATACAGTGCTGTATGTGTCTTTATGCTATGTTATCCTTTTTTGCAGGGGCCAAGGGGTCCAAAAGGAAACGGTGGTGAAATGGTGAGATGAAATCAAACCCTTTAATCAAAACCTGGAAAGTCTTCTGTGTTATTATGTCATGATTGCACTCTGCCAAAGTGTCAAACATTCCTGACTGAGAAACACTCGGTTGTCTTAGCGGCCACCTCAAAGCCGTTTGTGCGTGTAAAAACAGAGCTGTAGATGATGAAAGTTACATGAATGTGAGCTAGGGTGTAGTGGTAGTTTTGTTTATACGGCTTTCTTAAAGTGTCGGTGCTGTATGACACTTTAGGCTAAGGCTATGGCTGAGTCATAATGAGCACGCTCTCCTGGAGCGCAGTGTGGGGCCCTCTTGTGTAAACAATGCTGAGGAAGTGCCTTGACAAAATGTTAGCAGGGAAAGCCGCAGTGTAATCCACACAGTCACTTCTCGGTTGTGGTAGTTAGTTTGTCAGTTCTTTGCAAATCCCTCTGCATTTCACCCTACCACACGCAAACACACTGTACTCAATGGGCCTCTAATCCTAGGCTTTACTCAGATGCTGTTAAAATGTGCTCACAATATGGTATGGATATAAAGGACTTGAGATCCCACTTACAGACATCATGAAGTTCAGCTGCACCAATGTTTTGTCCCTAGTCCACCAGAGGGGGCAGTATGTGTGTGATACTACTGTCGCTCTACAGAGCATCTCAGAAGGATTCAGTTCAATTCAGTCCAATTCAATTTTATTTATACAGCGCTAAATCACAACAACAGTCGCTTCAAGGCGCTCGAAGGAAGATGAATCACGAATCTCTTCCATTCTGTTCACTGTGAGGCTGCACTTATTTAATCTATTTTATTTTTCGTCGTGTGTGTTATTTATGTAGAAGTGTATGTGTATCGTAATCATTTTATCCATTTTAATGCATATTTTCTATGTGCCTGACTCTTTCAGGGGCCTCAGGGACCACAGGGAAGCCCTGGACCCAGAGTAAGTGCTAACTACACTATCACTTTACAGAATGATTCCTACTGTATACACAGAACTACTGTATATACTTCACTGTTATTTTGGATTATGAACAATTATGAATGAGAGTTTTCACAGGTCAAATATACAGAAGTGCAAATGTTTTGAGTCACCTCTCATTCCTTTATATTTTATTAGAAAATAAGAAATAGATGCGAGGATTTATGGAAATGTGCAAACATGCATGGAAATATAGTATGAAAGGCAAAAACTCAGTTTGTGGGCTTTTAATGTGTTTGAAAATCAATATTTGGTATGACCACCTTTATTCTTCAGCACACTCTGAACTTCATAAAGCTTCTTGAAGAAGATCCAAAGCTTTTATTTGGATGTTGGGCTGCCTTTCTTTTTGTTCTCTGTTGAGATGATCCAACACTGCCTCAATAATGTTGAGGTCTCTGGGGAGACCAGTCCATGTGTGATTGACATCATTGTGTGTATCCAGGTATGATTACACCGCATTGGCAGCATGTTTGGGATCATTTCCATGCTGAATAAGGTCAAAAAGCTTTTGATAATCAGATGCTTTCCAAATGGTACTGCATGGTAGATCAAAATCTCTGCCTCCACCATGTTTTACAGTTTACTGTAGACGCTCCCTGTGGTACCTCTCTCCTGACTTTCTCCCCCTACATATTGATAATGATTTAGATTCAAATTTGGTGTTGCCATTGTTTTACTGTGTCAGGTCTTTGTTGGATTTTGTCCTGTTTCTTAAGGGCATAAGTTTCAGATACTATGTTAATAGCTCACTATGTTGTTGCAAAAGTGCAGAAACATTTTATGCTGACCATACTTTTCCTTCTTCTTCACCTTCTTCTTCAACTCCTCCTTTTTCACCTCCTGAGTCTTGGGGAAACCCTTTCAAATAATCTTCTTCAAATTCTGTTGTTTTCATGTTAATTCCGTTGTTTTCATTCAAACTGTTCTATTCATTCTAATTTTGTTGTTTGTTTTAAACTTCCATTGTTTTCATTCAAATGCTTTTGTTTTCATTATAATTCTACTCGTTTTCATTAAAATTCCGTCGTTTTCATGTTAATTCCGTTGTTTTCATTCTAACTCTGTTTGTTTTAAACTTCCATTGTTTTCATTCTAATTCCGTTGTTTTCATTTCATTCTTCTTCTTCTTCTTCACCTTCTTCTTCTTCACCTTCTTCTTCACCTTCACCACAAATTGTGTTTTGGGGACGGCAACAATTTAAAATTGGTCTATACATAACACTAGATGCTTCTTTGATGCTTTAATGATTCAACAAACAGACAAAAAAAACAACGTCAACAAAACATTCCTCCAAAAATGTTCAAGCGCAAGAACTAGACTAAAAATAAGTGAACAAGCAGGCAGTGTCGAAAGAAAACTTCTGAAAGATTTACAGAAAGCCTGGAGTCCAAATCTGTCTCCTTGGAAGCAAAATGTAAAGAAGTGAGAAGTGACTCAAGACTTCAGAGAATGACATGGCGAGCTGGGGTTAGGGCAGTTCTGTGGTTGTACACTCTACCATTTTCCTGCAGTGTACATTTTCTTCAGAGTCCATTGGCGCATACATGACAAACCAAAAAGTGAAATGATGGCAACCACAATGAGATCATTTCTGTGTGTGTGTTACTCATTTTGTCCTTTTCTTTCTACCACCCCAGGGACCCCCTGGCGCTCCTGGTCCAACAGTAAGTATTTTGTGTAATGCAGACAAGATTGCCTAGACAGCAGGAGTCTTGCTTTAATGTAAAATTCAGATGTTGTAATGATGTACAGTTCTTGAATATATATTACCTAGCCTGTAGGTATTTATATCTCATTGTGGTTGGGTTGGTAAATGAGTTACATCTCTCTCTTTCTTCTTTCCTGAAACCTAAGATATGTGCTTTTTCAAGCTTAAATAAACGTTTTAGTAAAAAATAAGTAATACAAGCCATTTTTTTTCTGAGTGGCAGGGTATGAACGAACCAGGACAAGCACCTGTTTCCTGTCTTACTCTAGATGAGCCAACAAATGGTGTATGTCAATAATAACTAAGATCCCTGTGATTGTTTTTTCAGTAGCACTGACAAAGCCTTTTCTGGCGTGGCTACTCTTGTTTGTCCCAGATTCTGGATATCATGCAGCTTTCTGCTCTCTACATGACCTTTTCCTGTTCAAACAGTTCCAAGAACCCCCCTAAAACAACTCAGCTGCCTTTTTTGTGTACACACATTCAGTGATCGCTGTGGTGTTTATACTGAGGGGAATTTGTTAATTTTCCCGCAGCCAAAATCAAGAATGTGGCTGTTTATTGATCCAAGACTTATTTTTCTGCCCTTGTGTGGTATTAAAGTGTACACTGACGCTGTTAAAGTTTTCTCACTAAACTGGACATGTCTTTCTGCTGCCATATTTACTTTAATCAATGAGCAAGCTGACAGATTAAAATCTTTCAGTTTAATAATGAAGGCACTGAATTGTTTTCATTGAACTGAATATGGTGATTCTTAATCCACAGAGGGTGTTATATGACGACTTAGCAGTCTACAGTCCATCCGCTTCCAATGATGCCCTGAGGACTGAGGTGAAGCACTTTATAAGGATGGGTAGAGAAGTTATGGATTAGTAGATTTGTGAAGTCAGGTTAAAACTTGAGAGTTCACAGTGTTATCATCCTCGTACTTAACTAGAGTTTCCAGAATATGGAGATGAGCATGCCAGACCAGAACACGGAAGTACTTAAGACTCTACAGTATTTGAGCAGTGTGATCGAGAGCATCAAACAGCCTCTCGGGACAAAGGAGAACCCAGCTCGTGTCTGTAAAGACCTGCTGGACTGCCAGCACAAGTTAAAAGACGGTGAGTGTCTTCACCCATACATGGAAGACACTATTTTGCACAGGTAGCAGGTCTTAATATTAATATTCTTCTCTTTTCAGGTTGGTTCTGGGTTGATCCAAACCTGGGCTGTACGTCTGATGCCTTCCAGGTGTTCTGCAACTTTACAGCAGGGGGACAGACTTGTTTACATCCAGTGTCAACTGATAAGGTAACACTGAACGAGTGGGGAAAAAAAGGACACTTTTACTCTTACTTTAGACCAGGGGTGGGCGACTCCAGGCCTTGAGTGCTGGTATCCTGCAGGTTTTAGATATCATCCTGGGTCAACACACCTCGATCAAATGATTCGTTCATTACCAGGCTTCTGGAGAACTTCAGGACATGTTGAGGAGGTAATTTAGACATTTGAATCAGCTGTGTTGGATCAAGGACACATCTAAAACCTGCAGGACACCAGCACTCAAGGCCTGGAGTTGCCAACCCCTGATTCAGACCATAGTATTTAACACTGACAGTACAAGAAAAGTTTCATTTTGATTCATTTAGAGTTAGTTTTATTTTTGCTATACTGCATTATGCTTATATTATTTTACTTTGCACACTGAAACAAAATTATTCACAAAATTATAAAACTATGACAGAGGGTTGTACTTCCTTATACTCTCTTTAGCCAAGGAGTTCTAGTTTTGTGTCAGCTGAGCAAAGAACACCTTTCTAGGCTGCTTAATCTTTCTCCAGGTTGTCTTTCGCATACTTCATTCTAGCTTGAAGGTGTCTCTTCTGAAAAAGTGCAGTATTTCTTGGTCTCCAACCTCTTAGTCCATTCCTGTGCAGGGTTCTAGTTACTGTCTTAAATACTACTTGACTTGGCTAAGTAACTCACTGCTGTCTTGGCAGTTGCTCTGGGGTCTTTAGACACATCTCTCACTGGTTTTCTTTCCAGATTCTTTGAAAATGTTCACTTCCTTCCATTGACAGGGTTGTTCTGTACTGTGTGGCTGTCTCCAAGTTTCTTGATGATACTTCTCACTCCAGCTCTTTGCATATCCATCTCTTGCTTTGTGAGCATCAGCAGTTCTTTTTCCAAGTCTAAACTGGTTTGTTTTCCTTTTGACATGATGCTATAGTGTTCACAATCTACACCGTCTGTGCACTTTCTCTCTCCAACAGATGGTATTTGACATAGGAAATGTCCAGATGAAGTTTCTCCATTTACTGAGCAGTGAGGCTAGCCAAAGCATCACGTTTCACTGCCTGAGTTATCAACCCTCCAGCACCGCAGACAGCTTCAGCTCCAGTGGACACAAAGAGAACACCAGGCTTCGGTTTCGTGGCTGGAACAAACAGATGTTTGAGAAAGACACACTACTTGAACCACATGTGCTACAAGATGAGTGCAAGGTAATGTGGTGTTTAAAAAAAAAAAAAGTGCCTTTGTTTTCGTCGTTAGGGAAGTTTGATTTAGTCGTGAGCATTTTCTGTGGTTATTCTTACAGAAACCCGCACATAATTCTGCATATCAATAGGACTGTCTCGTGAAATTATGACTTGCTGGGACTGATTTGAAAATGTAAACTGATATCCTGATGATATGCTCTGATATATTCTTTATGCTGGTGATAAATTGTTGGTTGTAATTAAATAGGTGACAGCAGAATTTTAAAGAACTTCCTAAAGATATATATATTTTTGTATTTACTAAAAGTCATTACCACAAATAAATAGAATCTGCTCCCCTCCCCCATTTGTCCTGTTCCAGATCCAAGATGGCAGCTGGCACCAGTCACGATTCCTCTTCCATACTCAGGACAGTGGTCAGCTACCAATTGTAGACATAGAGGAATTTCCCACTTCACAAATCAACAGTCAGCGAAACGTAGAAATCGGTCCAGTCTGCTTCCTCTGATACCAACATCCCCATCATCGAAGCCACTTTTATAAACCACTTAAATCCGCAGATTTTTAAAATTTCCTACCAAAGAGATGCTGGCACAGCAAGGCAGACTGTATCCCTGAGAGCTTGTTGCATTTGCTGGAGAGCTTCAGCAGGACTTACTGTGAGACTAACAAAAACCCAACATCGAACGGCAGGCAGCTCTACCTGGGAGAAATCAGTCTCTGTGGAACACCCATGCCAAAGAGGACAGTGTATACTGATATTTATCTAATCAATGTGTAAAGTATTTGTTTAGTTTTCACTCAAAAGGTGCATTGGGCCACTGCATATGGACCCATTTTACTTCCTGATGACGGGGGTAGGGCCTCACATTGCAGCAGCCTGTCCAAAACCCAAAACTCAAACCTGCCATTCACTCATGTTCCACCCCTTCAACTCCCAAACACACCATCCTTGGAAGGGGTCGAATCCAAAGGATCATGCCAGGCCTCTGCAGAGGGCACTGTCTAACTAAAGGTGCAATAGCATATGGAAAATGTGTGTGCTTTAAATATTTCATTGTCCAATCAGAGGCTATATTTGATATTGTTTTTCATTATGTTTTTGTCTTCGGTCCCATCCATTCGGACCTGTACATCTTGACAGATGGTACTCTACCTCTACCTGCTTTCAAAAATAGTCAAATTAGTCATTTTTACCTTTTGTTTTGTATGTACCGGTTACATCAGAATTTATGTTGTTTTAAATGCTTATGTTGATTTGGTCACTTCTAATTTATGAACCATTTTTTGATACACAACATATTTTCATAGCTTTTCCTACTATGTGGTAGTTTCCTCAGGGGAAACCTATCATTGGTGCTGCAACGTTTCCTGTGTATATATTGACAGCATACTTCAATGTTTATTTATAACCTGGTTTTTTTTTTGGTTTGTTTTTAGATTTGTTATTATTATTTTTTTGGTCACATTACTGTGGTACAGTAAAGTTATACTCTCAGAGAACTTGCTTACTTGGTCAACCACAGCTCGGTCTAGAGGAGTATTTATGTTTGAAGTGTGTGTGTGTGTGTGTGTGACTGTGTGTTCATCATACTGCTTTATAAATTCATTCAGAAGTCAAATGCAGCTACGGGAGGACAAAAATCAAAAAACACAGAAAACAGTCATCATACTCTTAAGTTATGTTACCATTAATTAAGTGTAATTATATAAAGTTTGTGGAGGACAAAGTTGGATGCAAATGTGTAAATAAAAAATAATTTTAGAAACAAATAAATGGGACATTTTATCCACATGTGGTTTTGTTACCTTTTTTTTGAATGAAGGACATACTTGTTATAAAGAGTGGTGGAGTAATACCTCATTATCAGTTTCAGATGTGCACAATAACAGGTTGAGATCTGCACCCAGTGTTACTTAAGTAAAAATTTTCCCCCCTAATGTTACAACCATAAAAATACACTGCTAAAAAATATTAAAGGAACACTTTTTAATCAGCATCAAATCTGGGATATTAATCTGGTCAGGTAAGTAGCAGAGGGGGTTTCAGCTGCTTTGGTGTTAATGAAATTAACAACAGGCACACTAGCGGGGCAACAATAAGACGAGCTGCACAAGAGGAATGGTTTTTATAAGTGGAGGCCACAGGTGTTTTCTTTTCCTCGTCGTCTCTTTTGTTTTTTCACAAGTTTTGCATTTGGCAAGGTCTGTGTCACTGCTGGTTACATGAGGTGATACCTGGACCCTACAGAGCTCGCACAGGTAGTTCAACTCCAGGATGGCACATCGATATGTCCAATGCCAGAAGGTTTTCTGTCTCTCCCAGCAGTCTTAAGAGATAAGGAGGAGATTCCACGAGACAGACTGTTTCTCTAAGAAAGATGAAATAGTTGTAGAAGGCCCTTAACCCAATAGCAGGACCTGTATCTGCTCCTTTGTGCAAGAAGGAATAGGATGAGCACTGCCAGAGCTACAAAATGACCTCCAGCAGGCCACTGCTGTGAATGTCTGACCAAATTATCAGAAACAGATTTCATGAGGGTGGCGTGTGGCCTGACATCTTGCCGTGGGCTCTGTGCTCACTGCCCAAAGTCTTTATTTAACTTTAAAAAGTGACACTGTCATTTTATAAAACGAATTCAATTAATTCACAATGATGCAGCGGTTAATCACAGTAATAGCGTCCGAATGCAGTGGCCTACTGAGGCCCTTCTGTGTGGAGTTTGCATTTTCCTCTTGTGCCTCTTGTGGTTTCCTCCCACAGTCCAAAGACATGCATGTTAGATTAAGTGGTTATTCTAAATCAAGGAGCAAATGTGAGCATGAATGGTTTTTATGTTTTGGTCATACAATAGGACGACCAGTTCAGGGAGTGCAGGTAATATAGACTCCAGCTTCTCTGCGATCCTCAATTAGAGAAGTGATTAAGAAGATCGATGGATGGATGAATTCACTTTTCTTTCTAAACTGCTGATCAGTTTTTTGAGGGATGTTGAATATGGTGCATGGGCATGTACCCTCTTGTTCACACACACACAGCTTAAAGAAATCTTCTTTAATTCATATCACTCACTCCTTTAATAAACACAGCCTATATAAACACACATAGAAATCTCGTGAGAAAAGAAACTCAAATAAGTGCTGGAGCTTGTGAGAGGGTCTGATGTAGCTACTATCCTGCCCAGCGACCCATTATTGCTCTTACTTCTTGCATATTCTATTATCCGTGTCTATTTTCAATCTATTTTAAGCTTGGATACACTGGCAGGCACAGAGACCAAAAATAACAACAAACAACAACAACAAAAACAGTGCTGGCGAGCTGATCATGGGATGCATTTCTGACGCGCAGACACCGAGAGGCGCCAATGAGCACATTTTCCAACCGGAACTTGTATCCACGTGCTGGCACCGGGGCGGAAGAGCATTTGTTTTGATCCCGGCGTGTCGTTTCGTCCGCGTGCAACTACAATTCTCCCGTTATGAGCGCAGTAATTCTTCCAACAGCACACATAATGTCATCCGCGGAGAACAAAGTCGAAAATAGCAGCACCGAAGAAGAGGAGAGAGGGAAGAAAAGAAAGATGTCTCTTTCCAGGTAAGCGATTTAAACCGACTGCAGCTCAGCCACAAAACTAGGACAATATTTTGCGTTTGCTGTAAAGATTGTTTGCTCAGCTTCACTTCTCAGAGTCGGCATAATCCTAATATTTGTTAACCGAGTAGCAGATAGATCTGCTGTCCCATACCAGATGCTACTTATCGTAATATGTTTATGCTAGGCAGTTATGAAGTTAGCAGGCTATTAGTTAGCTTCAAGTGAGACCACCACAGCCAAACTCTTCACTCTGTTTCTTCTTCGTTTATTAACACTTACTTTAACCTTTTAGTATATATTAAGTATATCTCCTAAAGTTTGTCACACAAAACATTTTCTGGCTCAACTACAGGTTATGTGTGCGTGTTGAGCACCGTTACTTGTTAAACACACTCACAGTTTGACGTGTTGTATGTCCTGCAGTTGTGGTGTTTGCGGATCAGAGGAGGCCAAGTACAGGTGTCCAGCCTGCCTTACTCATTCCTGCAGGTGAGATGAATATCCTCTGATTAAGTGCTAAAGCCTTAGCAGCAAATACACACAAAAACGAAGCTGCTTATCCATAATGTGGTTAGGACTAATTGTGCTTTTGTAAACCACTGGGTGACTTCACCTCTTTAGACCTTTATAAATTCAAAATGTAGAAGTTTATTCTCTTATTGTTTCATGACCTTCTTCCAGGATGTGGCTGTTATTGATTTATTGATACTCTTTTAAAAATTTGTTAATATACAAATATTTTAAGTGGAATAGAAAGTGACCTTATTGTGAAGTAATTTAAAACTGCAACACATTTTCACCTTGTAAAGTGTCCCACTGGTGTTGCATTGTTTGCTTTCACCTATCAGAGAGCACAGTGTGGGGCTGTGGAATAATAATAATCCATGGAAAAGGACAGATTTTGGCATCTTAAGTCATCTATGTCAATTAAGTTTTAAATACTGTCATAGAATAAACAGTACTTCTGTATGCATGAGTGTACTGGACAGCATTCATAAGTGAGGTCCAATCACATTTTAACTCCAGCTCTCATACTCTGTTGACTGTATATAGAAATGGCACTTATTCCTCAATGGTTAATGAGGTATGTGGTGGACACTCTAAACTGTATTTGGGCTGTGATCATTTCATTTCAAATTGCACCTGTGAATGGACCCCCAATTCTGAAACCTTTGTCATTACCTCTTTTCCCTTAAGGTAGTGCAGTTGAGAAGCAGACATTTTGACAAGTTGTCCAAAGAAACTCATGACAGAGTTAGCGGGTTGTGTATGGCAGTCCTTTGTAAACTAGTTGCCAGAGTCTGACCCATAGCCAATAACACCAGAGGTTCCCATTTTTTCAGCCAAGCAATTAATAGTGCTGTGGTAGTTTCAGCTTTTTGTCATTGGCAAAAAGCTGAAATGACTACCTTCTAGATTGGCCATTGCACTGATGGAAAATGGTTCCAACATTTTTGAAGTTAACTGTTCATTTAATCACATCGCACAATCTTTTTTTATTAATTTATTAGGTCCAAGATTTCATGCAGGAAAAAAAAGAGACATAACATTTACAATGTCATCACAGACAATTTTGTGTTTGTAGTGTTAAAGCTCCACTGGGATAGCATAATTCTGTCTTCCATTTGTTTTCCATCGCTATTTAAAAAACAGAGGAAAAAATACCCGGTAACCTAAGAATTACAATCTTCCACATCTTCTACCCTTACGTGCAGATAAATATTATCGATGACTGACAGATGGCCGTGTTTTTGTTTTTACTTTCTGAACTTTCCTTTGATTCATGTCCAGCATCAGCATGCCTCAGAACAGCATGCCTCACAAAATCTCAATGGTCCGTTGCCCATTCTTGGAATTCTGTCGATGCTAAAGCATTTACAACTTCACCTTCTAATACTGAATAGTACAAAAATTATATTGCTAAACATTTCTTTAAGATTTATCTGACGGGGGCTAACAAATGTGCTTTCCACTCTCGTATTGTTGCCTGTTGTTTTGGGCATCATTCAGCATTCCTTTTACATAGTTTCTAGGAATACAGTCTCTGGTATGACTTGGGCCAGATATCCGTCTTTCAGCAAGAGTGCGAAAACTGGCCTAGCCATGCTCAGGTGAAATCCCAAGGTTTTTGTGTTTGGTGTGAAGGAGTGTACGTTTTTATATTTAACCCCCCAACGCCTCGTAGATCTCCTTTTATGCATGAGCTTTTAAGACTTCTGCATCATCAGTTCAATTCCCAAAAAACCCCAAATAAACTGCACAATATATTTTTAAACAAATGCCAAACGTGTAGCAAATATGATACAAATCGAAACTAATTTATACAAATTAAGATTTTTTTTTATTGTATTTTTTAACGTCAGAAGGTTAAATAAATACTCCTTTTTTTTTTTCTTTTGAAAAATTAGGATTTTCCTGGCAATTATTTCATGGTACAAGCTTTAAAGGGTTAAGATCTTTCAAAAACAACACTTGAAGTCATGACAGAGAGCATGTTTAGCCTGGTTATCAGCTGCAGCTGGGAACATCATCTCAAAGATAAGAGCAAGCCTCACTCCAGAGCATGTCCACTGCAATTGTGAATCCATGAACTGATTTATCTGTAAACTTTGGAAACTTCTTATTTTGGACTCAATATTTGTATTTATTTTACTTTTATTCTGACGGTCCTTTTGAGTTGAATTCATGTGTTCCCTGGGTCACTATTTTAATTTGCTGTTGGATGAGACAACAGGGTGATTCACAGAGTTGAGCAGGTGAGATACTGAAATAATCGTTGAATGATCAAAGAGAAATTGACAGGTTAGTTGACTACCAAAATCATCTTTAATCTTGTATTATTTAAAAATGTCAAACATCCCGCGTCAGGCAGTATTACCCAATGTTCCTTTGGGTTATTTTAAAAAACAAAAAAACAGTACAGTTTGTTTGTTTTTAACATTTTTCTTTGGCTCCCTTTCAGGCAAGGATTTATGGTTTACATTGACTAGCACAATTCTACATTCTGTTTTTATTTACATTTCACACAGTGCCCTTTTTTGTGAACTGGCTTAATCATTCCAACCTAAACTCAATTTCCTTCGGGGTCAACCTTTGGGATCAATAAAGTTTTATTGAATTGAATTGAATAAGGAAATGACTGCCTACCATGACTGTCCGTTTATCTTTTGTAGCTTGCCGTGTGTG